ATCATAACATGATCACGGCAGCATGGCAATCGGAAGGTGCGATCCTGCAGTAGTCTACAAAGCCTACCCAGCAAAATCGGAAGACTTGGAAGTAGAGCGCCTACAACGTCATCTTTTCAACTAATCATCCCCTATGTGAAATGACTGGGCCAGCACCCTTACCAAGGGCACGAGGCTTTGCCCACGCTTGTGTTGGGCCAAGGCTGGCCACATGAGCAGCAGTGGTTCATGTGGCCGAAACGTGTGCTCCCAAAATGAACCGTAGACCAGAAAACTGCCTGTTGCTGATATATTCCTGAACAAGCCGCAAATAACAAGGGGCTGCTTGAACGCAGCCATGACAAGGAATCTCCGTAAATTCCCGCACAGAACTGCTTGCAAACCCGAAAAGAAAAGACCTTTGACAAGTAACTCGTGGGAGGGAAAATTCATCCTGCGGTCAGGCCAAGCTGCAAATACGACCTGTGCGGTTCGCGAAGATGGACACAATCTTCTGGATGTTCCGAGTGCAGGGCAAATCCGACGAAAGAATAAAGCCCACCTGCGGCGTCGATCGCTCCAAGAGCCCAAGGTGCAATAGGCATCAGTTACCTCACTGCCTGTGATACGGCCTTGCCCTGGGCTAGCAAAAAGCCATGGTCATGCCAGTGACCCTTCATAAGTTGCACCTGAGTGGCCCCCACCAACAACACTCGCCCACTTCTCCTGCCCGCGAAAACGGCTTCCTTGCATATCCGACACTCAAGTCCGTGACAAGCAGTGCCGAGCTCTTCCACAACACCAACCCCCCAAGCCAACCTCAAACCTCCCAACAAACAACAAAAAGCACTAATGGCTGTGTTTGGCTCAAACGGGTGGATCCTGCAGTGATACGGACGTCTGGATGGGTCGGTATCACCTACGTTTTGGATTGCTTGTGGGCCAAAGGCACCCCATCTGCACTGCACAGCTCGCCCTCGGTGAATCGAACCTTGGGCCCAGGCAAAAAGCGCAAGCGGCAGGTTGAAAAAACGAGATTGTCTTTTGAGGGTACCCTTTCCGGGGCTGTTCTAAAGGGAAACTGAGTGAGAACCACCCATTTAAGGGCCTCCCCTCATGAAAGGATAGACCCAAATCAACCTATTTGGGTCCCAACTGCCTTGCAAGAAAGCACAAGAACATCCAAAAGGCTTCATAGTTTTGACACAAAGCTAGGAATCAACAGCCTCGGGTCTGTCTGTTGTCTGAGCTTTGCAAGCAGTCAACATGTAGCCAAGTGCTTTCTTGTCTAACTGTCACATGAAAGTGCTCCACAGGTGGTGGTTTGAATCCCAGGGATTGCCAAAACCTTTCTGGCCATCGCCGGACCACTTTGTCCGCTGAAAAGCACCACGCAAAGGACTCCAAACCAACATTGGCCCAAATGGTGATGTGTAAGCCACCCAAACAAGGAATGTAAAGATTTAAGGATCCCAGAGTGGTGTGGGTAGTTAATTCTTGCACTTGCCCTGAAAAGTCGCATGCGGGCTTTAGGGGGTAGGGCGTCAGATCGGCGAACGGGCTGCTATGGGCTATACATATATCGTGAAGCACATATACCGTGAAGCACATGTAAAACATTTTGGGGACTGAAAGCCTGTACCAATGAAGGGTAGTGAACCAAAAAAACGAGACCACAAAGCACACAAACCCTGATGGTTGCCCTGCATGGTTCATTGTCCACAAGCGCTACCGCCTACTATGTGCCATGCAAAGCGAAATGTGCTTACCCCTGAACCAGTTGGCCTTCTCTCGAACTGATCACTCGCACCTCCCGAGGCAAGCAAAACTCGCTTACGTGGTCGATTTGTTATTCAAGCTGTGGGCAACGAATTGATACTGCGAATCACGGTTGTCGGGGAAGGAATTCATCAACGTCAAAAGCTTGGCTCAAAACAAATGAACACTGCTTGACTATGTGAAGGTAGACCTACCCGCAGGGGTTCCCATTTTCGGCAATCAACCACTCCTCGGTTTAAGTCTACCTTGGGATAGTCAAGCAATAGAACCCTGGCTCCTGGCGCCCTTTGGCACCAAACTAAGTGCAAGTACAAATGCCTTACCGGTGAGGCACAGGACTCTAGGACTCAGATCGAGGACTGGGGGTTCACACCAAAAGTTCTCAAAGTTCATGCCGAACAAATTGATGCCCCAAGGAGCGCGCTGGAAGCCCACCGAGAATTCTCTTGCAACGGGGCGCCGCATAGCGCACGGAGCCGTGGAAGTGGACCTTGTTCTCGCAAATGATGCTCAGCCTGCCCTGGCCAGTGGGGAGGCAGTTCAATGCATCTGTCAACAGGCATAAGAGCGGCGACCTATGCGCATGCTTGAATCGAGACTTGCCAATGCGAACGTCTCTTGCCGCTTGTGTTTGCAGGTTGGATGATCAGATCGCATTAGCATGATGCCTCTGCCGGAATACAACTTGTCTTAAGGCTGCTGGACTGTGCGACAGCTTCTGTGCAACAGCTTGCCACACACACACACAGTGTATGCAAAAAGAACATCTGAGTCATGAGCAAACAGTCTTTCAAAGGAATCCACCCAAAACCATGTAGGGAAGCTGCAACTTATGGCTTCTCACCTCCAACTATAACTTTGGCTCATTTAGCAATCCCAACAGGACAACGCCAGGAGTTGTCAAAGCGGTGAGAAGGGGAAGACCCGCCATGGTTCGGCATGAGCCCCATGCCTTGTTGTAGCGCTTGGTGAAGGTACGGGCGTCGGAAGACAGGATGCCCATGCTGGAGTTCTTCTGGTGGAAGCGGTGGGATTTGCCACTAGGCGGGCCTGGCACACATCAAAGGCATATTCAGAACGAAATTCATGAGGTACGCTTGCAAAGAACTACTGCAAGCGGGAAAAAATAGAAACCATACTTCCGTGTTTGACAGCACATGGTAGATGCTTCTGAATAATCTGACAGGAAGCGGGCACCGTCTCGACGTGAGGAACCAAGAAAGGGACGAGACTCTCTCCCTCTTCCCCTCTCTCTATCTCTATCTCTCTCTGTCGCTCTCACTGAGCTTCCCTCCGCTTCTCCTTTCCACCTGAAAAAACTGGAGTTCCTCGCACGCGATGCATCATTCCATTGCTTGACTTGGTCACAAGACTGTCATTGCATTGCTTGCTTTCCCTGGCCCTGCAAAAGCAACAGCACCGACTCTAATTGGACAACGTCTGGCTGAGCGGTGACCGATGCAAAGTTCAACCATTGGCGAACGTTCGTCCGACAATGCGGATCTAGACTTGGTACCCACGTGGTCTTGATTGGTAGGCAGCGTTTACACCGAAGCGTACGGTTCTAGCACTTGATTAGAACCAAGACATTGCAACAACAACTTGGTACTAGTGAGTTGGGCTGGCAATTTGCATGGAGGAATATGACCTTTAACATGATTCATGCTTGAATCGCTTGAGGTAGAACTCGCCTAAGCTTTCCCAAACAAGGCAGAGCGGTTGAGGTCCCCTAGTTGATCTACTACCAATCCAGCTCATCGCCGGAAGAAAAGCGTACAACGCCATCTTCAGAAAGTAATCTATCCGCTCGGTTTGTTTTCTCACGGTTTTGAAGCTTGATGGAAGCCACGAACCCGAATGCAAAAGATGGCCTTGCGAATGTGCATTTCGTCAACTCGAGCAACTTTGCCCGGCTGGAGCCATGCTTTGAGCGAGGCTTCTGAGCTTCTGACCGACCGTTCAACCGACCTCTCTAAACATTCTTCAACGCAACACTCGTAAGCGACTTTTGTCACGGACACTTTTGAGAGACTCTTGTGAGCAAGAGCTTGAGCGACACTTTTGAGCGACAACGCGAGCGACACTTCTGAACACACTGACAAGCGGTATTGCAAATTACGCTCCTAAGCAACACCTCTGATTGACACATTCAGCTCTAGGCGTCAAGCACCAATCCTGAAGTCATACTTCTGGGCGACAAACTACGGCAAACTGAGTGACACCTCTACACACGCATAAGTGACACTTCTAAGCAACACTTCAAGCACTCGAAGCAACACTTTTACACGCACACACACACACACACACATGTAAGCGACGCTTCTGGTCGAGACTCCTGAGCGACAGTTCGGGCGACATTTCTACACCCGTATCTGAGCGACACTGTGAGCGACACCCTGAGCGACATTGCTGAGCGACACCTCTGAGCAACACTTCCGAGTAACACTGCTGAGCGATAGATACTCCTGGACACTTCATGAGCGACAGCGACAATTCTGATAAACACTTCTGATCGACGCTTCTTCTCAAAACTTGTGAGCAACGCTTCTATTTGACATTTCTGAGCAACACGACACTTCTGAGCAACACTTCTGAGCGACGCGACACTTCTGAGAACCACTTAACTGAGCAACATTTCTGATCGACACTGCTGATCGACACTCTGAGCGATACTTCTGAGCAACACTTCTGGTCAACACTGCTGACCGACACTTCTGAGCAACACTTCTGGGCAATCGACACTTCTGGTCTAGCTCTGATCAACACCTCTGATCGACACTTCTGAGCAACGCTTCTGAGCAACACTTCTGCTTTTCAGCCACGCTTCTGAGCGACACTCCTGAGCAAACTTGTGAGCAGCACTTCTGAGCAACGCTTCTGAGCAACACGACACTCCTAGACACCACTTTCAACTTCTAGTCGACACTTCTGATCGACAATTCGGAGGGACACTTCTGAACGACACTTCCGCGTTTTTGAGCGAGACTTGTGTTCGACACCTCTGAGCAGCACTGATCGACACTTCTGAGCGCGACGCTTCTGAGCAACACTTCTGAGCAACACTTCCGATCGACACTTCTGAGCGACACTTCTGGTCAACACCTCTAATATACCCTTCTGAGCCGCACTTTTGAGCAACACTTCTGAGCAACACTTTTTGAGCAAGGCTTTTGGTCGACACTTCTGATCGGCACTTCTGAGCTACACTTCCTTCTGGTCGACAGTTCTGACCGCCGCTTCTGACCAACACTTCTGAGCGACACTTTGGAGCAACACTTCGGAACGACACTTCTGCGCGACACTTCTGATCGACACTTCTGAGCAACACTTCTGCGCAACACTTCTGAGTAGCGCTTCTGAGCAACACTGCTGGTCGACAGTTCTGACCGACGCTTCTGACCAACATGCACTTCTGAGCGACACTTTGGAGCGATACTTATCAGCGGCACTTGTGAGCATTACTTCGGATCGACATTGCTGATCGACGCTTCTGATCAACACTGATGAGCAACACTTCTGATCGACACTGCTACGCTACACTGCTGAGAAACGCTTCTGAGCAACACGACACTCTAAATCGACACTTTCAAACCGACACTAGGCGACACCTCTGAGCAGCAGAACGACACTTTTGATCGACACTTCTAGTCGGCAGACACTTCTGAGAAACGCAGCTCATCACGTCTCTGGCCATGTCTATTGTCTTAAAACGCAACTGCGCCACAGCGAGAGTGATCGGTTGGACCCACCCAAAGTGCGCAGAGGGTGTCGCTTTGCTCTCTCAAATTGCGCACCGCGCCACAGTGAGAGCGATTTGACCCGCACAAAGAGCGCAGAGGGTAGCTTGCGCTCTCAGAATGCGCACCGCGCCACAGCGAAAGCGATTCGACCCACCCAAATTCGCAGGGGTTCACTTTGCGTTTTTCAAAATGTGCACCGCGCTACAGCGAGAGCGATTCGACCTACTCGAAGCCGGCGCACCTGTCACGAAATCCAACTTTGACACTTTTACGACACGCATCCAAAACTAGCACGGGACTGTGGCGCCAGAGTGGTTTCGACCAAGTTTGACGCATGTCAAGCTCGCCAAAACGAGCAGCACGGCAGGGCCAACGAAAATGACACTGCGCCTGCGCACACGTCGAGGGCTTGCGAAGCTGCATTTCCCGCACCGGGCCAATGGAAAAATGCACTTGCCAATCCATCACAAAACACGCTTCCACGGATTGGCGCACGCTTTATCGCCTCACCGCGGACGGCTGCGGAGTGTCGTGTCTTGGCGGTCCCCCTGCTATTTTCTGTTGTCTTCAACTCAGCCCTTTTTTTGAAGGGAAACCCCTCGGCTCCACCACCCCCTTCTCGCCTGCGGGCACGATCTGCTCCTCCTGCAGCGCCATATCGTTCGCAAGTGGTTTGGATTGGTTGGGAGCTTGGGCGTCTTCCTTCTTTCAGTCAATGATTTTCACCATGGCCCGCTGAACATCATGACACGCTACGCCCCGCGCCTCTTCCTGCTCCTGCTGCCAGCTCTGTGTCTGCTGCTGCTGCTGCTGCTGGTGCTGCTGGTGCTGCTGTTGCTGCTGCTGCGCCGGATACTGAAGGTGGGGCACGCCGCTGAAGTTGGTCCCGTTCAATCTAGGTCGGGCAGTCTGTGTTCAAATCAGACACATTAAACTTGACGAGGACTGGCTCGACAACACAAGCAGGGAGACAGCCCATTCTCTGAGCTGGCTTGAAATCATCAAAGAGCATAAACCGCCCTGACAGTTCACAGGCGGTGGTAAAGATGGGTAAACTATCATGTTCAACAAAGATTCGTGAAATAGATAGCTGCCTTGTAATGCGATGGCCCGACGGCCACCCATATTGAAAGCTGAGACCCACACATCCAAGCGAGCAAGCTCTCATGAACTGACATGCTGGATGGTTACCAGCAAGCGTCACGAACCCCATCCCTGGTTAATCATCAGGTCACGGATGATTGTGAGGATGACTGATGGGAGATGTGCTTTTCCTCTCAACCCGAGTCGAACTTGAACACACTCAGCACTGGGAACCCCTCAGCCTGTTACCTAGACACAAATCACTTGAAGGTTGCAAATCCTCACAGATTAGGTGTCAGCCCCTACACTCTACAATATGCATTCTGGCCGCGGCATGACGAAGGGCAGCATGCCCATGCCCACCACCGAAGGCTGCTGCATCTGCATGGGCACTGCCACCATCACGCGGGGCTGCTGAACCTGTCAGGTTTTGCAGCTCGGATGTTCTGGGCCTGAAAGCACCCAAAATGGTCTAAGTTCCAAGAGTGGGGGGCCTGGGCACTTGCGATAAACTTCATTTTTTCAGCCCAGCAATCCACAACTCCCACACTGCCCCTCCCAGGCCCTTGCCGCCGCATTCCGTGCCTGCATCGGCGCCTGCATCTGCACCTGCTGCATGGGCACTTGCTGGACGTGGGGCACCTGGGGCATCTGCATCATCGGCACTCCGGCCATCTGCTGCATTGGCAGCTGCATTGGCAACTGCATTGGCATCAGCACTTGCTGCACAGGCTGGGCTGCTTGCTCCCCACACCTTGGCACGCACGAAACACCTTGTGGCCCGTCGTTGATCATGCTGTTGCCCCTTGTCAACATTAACATGCCCCTTGTCAGGAATGACGTTCCAAACGAGTTCTGCATTTGCAATGGGCTCTACACAATCAAATGAATCAGATCAAGTGCCGATACCAAAGGGCCGAACAAAACCCAGGAATTCCTGGGAGACCAGCTTCTTGATGGTCTGCTCGCTGACTTTCAGAACCAGTCTCACCCAGGTTGCTTTGGTCCATTGGTGGCGGTATCCGCCGAAATTGCTCGGCGTGTGGGACACCTAAGAGAGGATAGAGGATGACCCCCCCCCTCGTCCCCCCACCGGACACGTCAAACACAGGGGCGCGCGTGGCCTCCTTTTGCCGAAAACCTGGAACAACTCTGTGTTGTTGCACCGCCTTTTTGAAAACGTTGAAGACTACAGTGTTCTTTTCGGAAAAATACCGGGGAAGGGGAAATGCAAGGGAAGTGCAGGGAAAATAAAGGGGACATGAAGGGGACATGAACAGGGGGACATGCAGGGGACAGGAAGTGGACATGACAGGAAAGCACGGGGAAATGAAAGGAAACACAGTGAAAGGGAAATGAAGGGGAAAGGAATGAGAAATGCAGGGGGAGTGAAGGGGGCATGAAAGGGAAACAAAGGACGAGGAAATCAAAGAACGAACACGACGGGCGATGTAGGGAAATGACTGGCAACGAAAGGGACATACGTGGAAAATGAAGCGTACATACCGAGAAAATGACAGGGACATGAATGGGGAATTGAAAGTAAAGGAAGGGGACATGACGAGGAAATCATAGGAAATGACGGGACATGAAAAGGACGTGAAGGGGAATCGAGGGGAAAGCCAGTAGTAAGAAGACAATTCAGGGCGGCATGAAGAGGCAGTGCACGGAAATCGAGGCAACTCAGAGAGAGAGAGAGAGAGAGAGAGGGAGAGAGAGATAGAGATAGAGGGGGGGAGAGAGAGAGGAGGGGGGGGGAGAGGGGTAAAGAGAGGAGGTAGAGAGAGAGACACAGAGAAAGACAGACACAAACAGAGAGAGAGAGAGAGAGAGAGAGCCAGAGACAGAGAGACAGAGACAGAGAGAGAGAGAGAGGGAGAGAGAGAGCGAGAGAAAGCGGAGGCAGAGACACGAGGTGGGGAGAAAGAGGCATAGCGAGGAGGTAGAGAAGAGAGGATGGGGAGGAGAGAGAGAGAGAGAGGGGAAGGGAAAAGAGAGAGAGGAAGAAGGAGAAAAGGGAGAGGCCAATGTCGGCGGAGTAAGTCGGAGGCTCTAAAGTTATCTCCACTGGCTCACTGCTGAGTCTCAGTGCTCAATTCATGATGTTCCGTGCATCAGCCTCCTCTGAGTATCGGCACAGCCTATCTGAAGTTGTGAAATAGCACCTCCAACTTGTTGGCCACCAAGACAAATACTCAAGGAAGAAACAAGACGCGCTTTCCATGCATTGACCCTGCCACCTATGAAGCTGCATAATCTGAGTCTCTGTAAGGCGGGGCATCATGCAGTTGTATTCCGTGCGTATGTTGGATTCCTAACTCGGACACTCAGCTCACCTGGCGCAATGCTTCCCGTGCATAAGGACAAGCAGCTCATCCTGGCTCCAGCTAGCCTGCCGGCGCACTGCTTTCGTCGGGTAAGAACTGACTACGTAGGAGCACGGCTTGCTCACGTATGGAAGGGGCATGGATGTTGAAACCATTGCTATCAAATCTGCATGACATGAACTCAATCCAAAAGTGATCCTAGGCCTGAGGTAATTTGCTGCGAGAGTACTGTCACACAGCCAAGTTTCGCGCATGCTCAGTGCAGTGAACGGAGTGAGTTTGATTCAGCCCTCCCATTGAGGCGGTGAACTACGTGGCACAGCGTGGTGAGTAGCATACTAAAAGGGAAAACCTAAAAAATCAGACTGCGACAATCGTTGCGAAGTGTTGCCGAAGCATGGCATTCAGGCGAGTCTTTCCGAGTCCATCTTCAGAAATGAAATCAAACCAAAACCATGTCGTGCCAAAAACATCACCTGTTGAATTTATCTGGGCAAACTAGTAAGGAATCGCCAAGTAAAGAACCTTCATGGGTGAGCTCGCGCTAGTTCCAGTGTTCCCCCCAGGTGTCGCTAAACTATGCACAACACTTATGCAACGAAGCCACGCCGGGTGCCGGGCCTCTGTGGTTGAGAGCTCGGACACACTGCCGGCCTCGCATGGGTCGCTTTCAAGGCACATCACTGCGCTCCCGCTTTTTTTGAGGGTACCTTTTTTTGTGGGTTGTTCAAGCGAAACCAACAGAACACCAACACTTTGGGGGCCCCAAAACGACACACCCAAATGGCAAATCGATCAAACCAACACATTCAAGAAGCAGCACATACTGTATGTGCGCCTGCCACCTGATGATCCGTCGGTTGGTTGCGGTACACTTTCTACTCTATCCAAAGGGCAAGCTTCCCTGGCGAAGTAGCTCTGATTGAGTTGAGTTGGTGAACGTCCTTAACATAGATGCGGCTACATGTGAGGTTGTCAAAAAAGAGACCATCTTCATCGCCATGTGGAAGCGCGATTCAAGTTCGTGGCCCCAAAAAGCAGCCGGACAGAGAAGGCAACCTAGGTCACTGTTTGGAATGGATGGCACTGGTAAATGGTGGGAACCAAACTAGCACCCAAGCCTGTTCCCTTTTTTTGGACCTCAAAAGTATGATTGCAAGCTGGGGCAGCTGAGTACTCGCGCATTTGAAAGACATTATTTACACATTTCCTCCTGCAAAAAGCAGCCTACAACAGGAACAAAACGAGCTATTGATGCCCCATTGGCCATGATGTCTTCAATGTTGCTGCTGTGGATTGTCCTTGACCTATACAACTGTTCAAGGCAAGTTGCTAGCTCCGAAGCCTGATGTTGTGAACATTTAATGATAGCTACTGCTGTTGTGTCCCCTTCTCAGAAAAACATAGCTTTGGTGCGGTGTACGAGTATCCAGCTTGCTACTGTCTGATAAGCCCGGTACTTGTATCGTATGCATCTTCCAATCTCATGATAGCCTGTCATTTATTAAACAGTGATGTATTGGCAAAAGTTGCTGGAGTGAGACTGGGAAGAAATATGTTGAAACAATTCTAGTGATTAAAGCGAAGGTGCGGGCAAGCGAAAAAGAGAAGAAAAAAAAAAAAAAACGAGCAAGGGACGAAGGGGCGGGCAGGTCTAATGCGAAGGCGCGATGTTAGCTGCTGTCACATCTTCATGTCCCGCCAAATGCAGAAACGAAAATTCGCGCACGCCTTGAGTGCAGCTGCAAGCTCGTGCTGAGTTCGTAAACACACAACGAATCTCACTACCAGCGATGTCTCAAGATCGCACAGGCTACGTTGTCTCAAGCTGAAAAGCCATGAAGAGCCATGGACTCAGACGCACTGGAACGTCGCCGGCGAAACCGCACCTTCAATTTACTTAACTATATCCGTCTCAGGCTGTACTTACCCAAAGGCATCATATCCACCTTTCTGCCATACATTTAGTAGGATTGCAGCATCCAGTGGATTAAACAGAACTCCAAGGATTTCGTCCTGGCTGTGAGGCGGATCCCTCGCTTCGGCAGCCTCGTCTGTCTGCTCTGTCTCCACGGAGTCTGTGGCTGCGGTGCTCCAAGACCTGTCAGGAAACCCTTAGTTGGTGGTTTGGATTGGTTTGGGGATTTGAACCCCTGGCTTTTGTAGAGGATAGGCTAACATGGGCGTGAATTTTGACTGGAGACCCCTTGGTGGACATCACGAAGTTGTGGGGTTTCATGTCCACCAACTACTTTGCACGCGGATTCCCCACTCAGAACTCACCACATTTGGGAGAAGGCAAAGCCTAATCGATGGGTCAATGCAAGTGTGCCCAACGTGATTCCCGGACCAGAAAAGGACAAGGCGAGTAAGTATGACAGCCAAACAGGGTAGGGAATCTGGCAATCTGGCAATGCTCAATACTACTGATTGCCAAACCAATACTAATCGATACGAAACTAATACTAAACCGACATAAAGCGAGCAAAAACTGACATTGACTGGAGCCCCAAACGGCCACATTTTGAATGACACCCTTTACAACAGCCAAATCAAACATTTTTCTGAAAATGTTGGGGGTACGAAATGCAGAAGAGATGGCGCTCCATGCAACAACCAATACTAAAGCAGGTACGAAGCCAATACTAAACCACAGCGCGAAGCAATACGAAGCTATACTAAACCAATTCTGAATCAAAAACATATAGTTCGAACCAGGACAAACCAGTACTAAGACCAGGGCAAACCAGTACTAAGCAATATTAAACCAGTACTACAAAGCCAGGACAAACCAGTGCGAGCAAGACCAAACCAATGCTGCACCAATCACAAACCAATACTCAACCAATACCAATCCAATAATCTCTAAACAGACAGAGAGGACCCAAAAGGACAAAAGTAGCCCAGTTCCGACCCCAGATGGGGGAGCTTCTGAACTATTTCATTTGAATAGCATGACTAGGCCGTCGTGTTTGCCCATGTGCGTTTTCACAGTCCTGCCAAACCGCCTCGCCGAACCGTGGTCGAGGGATCACCGAGGGAGTGCCGTGCGTGCCGACACGACAATTGAGTTTGTGCTAGACAATCCCCAGCCAAAACTGGCCCAAAAGTATACGTATCAACAACTGAGCTCTTGCGACTGGTGTGCAAAGCAGCATGGGCATGGCTTCATGTGATTGGTCTTTAAAGCGCAAACGTGCAATGCTTGCCCCAGTTCCAGCCCGGGTTTCACAGGTGTTGTTGGCACCTTCTCTCCTTTGCAAGCGCAATCAATGCGAGCAATGCGCCATCCAATTGCCACCAAGCCACAACTTGTCAAAGCCGGCCTTTTGAGGAAGGGTTTTAGTGCGGGGCATCTGAAGGTCGGTAGCATCAGTCCTGAGGCAGGCAGGATGACATGGGAGGTCAAAATTAGGCGCCGTTTTTGGCACCCGAAAAGACAGCACAAGGCGGCACCGGGGTCCAAAACGGCCCATTTGTTTGACAACAACACCCCGAATGGTTGTGGTCCCTGTGAAACATGGGGGGTTTGCCAAACACTCACCGCACGAAGCGCCCCTCTATCCGTCTCTTGTCACCAAGCTGAGCCCTTGCCTTGGGTTGTTTGGTTTTGCTGCGGTGTTGCTGAGAGATCCGTGCTGCCATGTGCCGCCATGCATTGGTAGCCTTAGTTGCTAGAAACTTTCAGCCTCAGCCCGGCGTACCACAGCTCGCGTTGCCTCGCACTGTCAATTCATGGTTCAAAAACCTGCACACCCGTGTGTACAAATATGTATATATATATTATAATAAATAGACATATCGTATCTGTGGGATCAGCATCAGAGGTCCTTTCCCTTCAGCCAACAGACCCGGAACCCACAGCTTGTGAAGCTCTTATATTGGTCTTTGGTGGTGCGCATTTGGATCTTCAAGCGAGCCTCAGGGTCTCAATTCAGGTCATCTTGCCTTGAGGAACCAAAAGTGGCGGCAAACGCAGTCAAAGACTCTCCCTTGCTGAGAAGGCAGAGCTTCAAATGTGCAAAACCGAGCACTCGCCTGCACCCCATGCGCCATGCTGCTTGAATCGATTGTGAGGACACCGCCTTGTCCATGCATGCTGAACGCTCTTGGCAAATCTGAACGCATTGAAGCCTGGATGATGGTCCCAAGATTAAACCAGGTCCCAAACCATCTAACCCCAAACATCTTAACCTCTCTGCCCGGCCCAAATACCTGCCAGTGAAACTCCCAAGCGTCAACGTCTGCTCAGAACAAAAAAACACTGACCGGCTGTTTATTGGCAAGTCACCCCAGAGTCCAAAAATCAAGACCCTATGGCCAAACAACAATCAACCCCTACAACACCATGAAACCTTCCCAAAAGGGCTGCCTCAACGGTTGGGTCCTCGTGTACCTCGCTACCTCGATGTCCGCGACTCGAGTCGGCGACCCGACTTCTCGAGCCGAGCAGCTCAGCGGATCCCAGGCCCAGCGGGTCCCAGCTCAGGCCTGCCGATCCGAGCTGGGTGACCTCTTCAATGGTTTCCAACAGATTTCTCGGGTCGCAAACTTCGCAACTTCAATTCAGAAACCTAAAGTGAGGAATCCCCAAGGAAACTTCATCAGTGAAGTCACGAATCCTGTTTTGGGGGTCGTGAGGTTGCTACGCTTCGCACCCAAGGAGTGTACGCCATCTGGATCTGTTAACCTTTGTCTGTTGAAGTGGGAAGTCGCAGGAGTCTCCAGGTTGCCAAAGGACAAGAATGCAAGCTTGCGGACGCGCAATCATGGTCTGTGAAGCAAAAAGTGTTGCTTGGTCTCGTCATTGCATGATCAAGTGCATTTTGTTGATTCTGCTTGAGCTCAAAACACATGGGGCATTCAGTTGCCTTGCAAGCTGAGTGCCAAGAACAGCATCCTTTTCTCCGGACATCTGCGTGCTCACTCGAACGCCTTATGTTGACACCAAGGCGGCTTCCCAAAACTAAGTTCTAGTGTCGCTAAACCCCTGGGACTTCATAAGGAATGTGTTTTGTTTTCTTGCTGAAGACATGAGGTCCTTTCATACTGCACCTGCAGTTTAATGTGGAGAAAACACAAGCATGCTCGCTGAAGGAAATCACTGTCTTGAGGCGACTTTTGTTGCGGCGGTCCTGCCAAATGAATCCTCCAAAGGTGGCGTGCCTGCATGACTTCGGGAATTATTGGATCACAATGATCCTTCTAGACTATGTTTGGAATCAACTATCAGCTAGGTCGACCCTCCAATGCATGCAAGAATCAACAAATGCATGAAGGCAAAGCTACTGGAGGGTGACATGAGTTGCAAGAAAGCATGCGGTCTACCGGTCTACCTGAAGAGAGCGGTCTTAACGGAGAAAGCCAGGTCTTTGGATCCGATTTCCACTGATTCCATTTCCATTGTCACGGAAAGGGCCATCCTCTAATGTTGACCCCGGATTAAACCCCCGGTCGATTAATAGGGGGGGTCGGTGTTATTCATCCGGGGTCAACATTAATGAGTTGCTGTGGCCCTTGCAAGAAGGCTGATGGTATGTCGCGCCTTCAGCCTCCTGGGTCGTCTGGGGTGCGGGTGGTGCCACCTGAAGTCGGCACTCACCGGGAGTTCAACCGGCCGGATGTGACGCTTATGCGCTTCAATGGCGTATATCAAACGCCTCCGACCCTTTTGGCACAAGTCTTGCAAGGGAATCAACGTGACACCAAACATTTGGATGGATCCAAAGGCTACCATGCATGATCCGGCAAATGAGTAAGCGTCTGTAAAATGGGAGCACCGTCCTGGTGTTGATGTCACGCTTTGTCGCATGAGGTAAGAGCAAATAGTATCTTGAGGACTGTCCGAACACTTCATGTGACTCCACCCCCGCCCTCCTTCAACTGCTGCTGTGGTCGGGAAGGGGAGGGCGTCCAACTGGGAAAGGTGTCCTCCGCTCGCACCCAACGCATAGGTAGGTCTCATCCGGTCGAGGTCATGAATCACCAAGTCTCTCTGATCCGTATTTTGACCTGGCTCATGATTCCCACAAAACATGCATATACTAAACATTTATATACAATACACCATCGGAGAAAGGAGGAAAGCCACTGTGAAATCTGCTTGGTGTTGGGCACTGATTGCTAGATTGAACAAAGCCTTAGCAGGGGATCAACGATAGTTTGGCAAGTTAGGGAACCCATGCCTAAGTTCAATCTGCACTTGACATCCTCAGGTCTCTCTCGCTCCTCATCATCCGTCATGATGTCAGCCCAAAGTTCTCGCTTTGTCCTGGCGCTTGGCCAGCTGAATTCGTGCAACGTGGTACAAAGGAGGTGCTACGGCATCTATGGCTTAGTCTCATGGAGGAAACCCCACAATGAGTGGCTTCCCTTTGGCTTCCCATGGCAAAACAACGTACTCTCAAGAACAATCAAAGTACATTCTTATTGGTCCACGTGCATATCTTGCAAAGGTGGTGAAACTCCGTATGCCCATGTTCGCTTCTGTGAGCTGTGACATCCGTGAAATGAAACATTGTATGCAGGGTTGCCGCGCCCAAAAACCGACACGAATTGCAGTGCTCCCAACTGCTGCAAAGTCTTGCATGTCTCGGATCAAGTCAAACAGCAAGTTGAAAGTCAAGGAGTTGGCAACCTATGGTAGCCCTCATTGAATAGTGCCACCGTTAAGATGAGATCTCAAGAGTTCAATCTCAAACAAGCTCGCCATGCTGGTTTCCAGGCTGAGCCGCCAGCCAGTTGGCAAGCCCAAACAGAGGCAAAAAGTTCGCAAGTATTTGACAGACTCGTGCCAGACTCGGTCAATTCACAAAAAAATGCACAAATATAGACAGCAAGCTGTCATGGCCCTAGCCCAACTTGTCAGCCTGTTCGCTCAGCAAGATGACAGCCAACTGAGACTCACAACTTGTCCGGCAGCCCATCTCACATCTCTTTTTCCTCGCTGAGACATGGTCATGCAATGGGACCCTGCTTGTCTTTCCAGCGCACCAACTGGACGCAAGAAAGAGGCTAGCTGGGCAGAACTAAACAACATTTGGGGGCTCAGATGCTTGTCACTTGGCATATATTTGCGCCCCTTCGCTTCGACCCGTCCTGGCCGGCTCCTGCATCTTTGCCTGTGGCCGGGCTTTGCCGCGCTGACTGGCTAATAGCCCGAAATCCATGGCGGGCGTAAGTCCATGGGTGGGAGCAGCTGACTGGCAACCCCGTGCTATGGGTGAGCTCTCAAGCACTTGAGGGCTACTGTTAACAAACGTGCTTACAAAGCTCATGTTACAATCCGAAAACAACATGTCATAGTCAGAGTCGCCTCGTCTTCCAGGGCCGGGAAACGGGCAGACCCCTCTGTAGATCAGAGCTTTTGGCCTTGGACTGCTGGCCACGTGTCCAGCCCCTTGCGCCCAATCCTGGTTTTAGTGCCAACCTTGGGCTTCTTGACAGCTGTAGCTGTGGCACAGCCACTTTCCTGAAGCCCCGCCCCTTGTGGATCTCGCCTTCCTTTCACATGTGACCTGGCCTCGACTTGCCACCCTGCGAGGAGCTCCGACGAACTCAGAGGATATAAACTGCATTACAGTGCGGAGGTGGGAAAGAATGGGAGAGGGAGGGAGGAAGGGCGAGAGGAGCCGAGCATCTAGAGCGATGGCAGGTCAGGCAAAACTCAGCAAAATCACTGAAGGACGATGAGGATCCAAGGAGGGATGGAAAAGGCGAGGAGCACCAAGGGCGATGAGGGCGACAGCTCCTGCGATCTCGCGGATGACAGCCAGCAACGGCACCGAAGGAGAGGGAGACCACACAAGGTAGGCGCAAGTGTGATCACGCGGCAACCAAAGCGGATGCTGTAAGTGCCGCGCAAGACCGAACCAAGGGGAAAGCGACCACGCGCCCCGGCGAGTCTCGCAGATGAAACAAAGTGACGACGCCAGCATGATCGCAGAGGCTCCCAAGCAGAGCAGTCACAAAACCACTTGCGCAGGGTCGGCAACTCTTGCTGAAACATGGGAGGCGAAGGAATGGACACGGCCAAAGCGGAGCAGAACCTGGGGGGCTACAGCTCTTCCCTTTCTCTAGAGAGCTCTCCCCTCCCGCATATTCCTGCCGCACCTTGCCCTCTTGGCGCAGTCGTTGTTCCTCCTTCAACCAGGTGTTCGTCAGAGTTACCACGCTCAGCCGCTATTCGCGTGCGTCAGTCCTTTGTTCCGGCTCAGGAGATGCCCGTCCTCTTCAATTCCAATGGCCTGGTCTTTTCTGCGCTTGTGGGTTTGTCGATGTCGGAGAGGGCTTTCCCTGCCAGAGGTTCCCGGGCGCCGGATTCTTGGGGACACCAAGACGCCTAACGGTTAGGAGCTCATGAACACCGGCTGGCCTGTAGCGGCTGTGGGAGGTGGAGCCAGATTGCGCATGTTGGCGAAATCTGCTCCGCCGCTTGGTGTGCTGTCTCTTCAGCCCTATATCTTTGCAGCCACCTGCTGGTTGGCGCCAACTGTGCGCCCTGCGTTTCGCTTGTCCTGCATCGCCCTATCTGTGTGTCAGAGCGGCGGGTGAATGCCAGCCAGTTGTATGCCTGCCTCCCGGGGAATTCTCCGGAAACAACTGTAAGGGCGGCGACCGGAATTAAGAGGATACAATTCGCAGGGCCTGCAAGATTTTCGCAGGGCGCTACAGGAACCGGTTGACTGCAAGCCGCTACCTACCTGCTGTGTGCAAGCAAGTCACTGAAAAGAACTTTCAGCGAGCGTGGTCATTGCTTTGTCCAGCCCTCCATGGTTGCAGTCTAAAGGTGAAAAGGACACGTCTAAATCAAACAGCACCTGGCCGAGGTCGGCAGCGCGAAGCGTTTGCAAAAATGGCACAAAGATTTAACAATCTCACATATGATTCCTGTTCGCAAAGCGAGTGCCAGCGGGACATATGAAGGAATGCTGCTCAACTGGCCAGTTGGATGAGCCGTTGACTCTCTCTCTCTCTATATCCCCCGCTTCTCTCTCTCTCTCTCTCTCTCTCTCTCTCTCTCTCTCCCTATCGTTAGAATCAGTTGTTACTTTGGCTACAAGTGCAAGTGCTGTAGTGTTCACACAAACAGAAACCAATGTAGTCTGCAGCTGCCAGCCTTTTCTGTAGTACCTTTTCAGCTGAAGTGCGCAACATGGATATGAAAACCATTGTTCTTCATCAATGCTACTGTAGTGAAAAAGGGTAGGTGTTGCTCTCAGTAGCTCAAGCTATTCATGGTCCAGCACGAAGTAGTGCAAGTGCTGGATGGAGTTCGTGAGGCAGTTACCTGATGTAGTTGAGCTCCTTGCTCAGGCATGTAGTGCCCAGTGCTGGGCGCGGTAGGGGCTTGGACCATCTGTAGTCGACTGTCCAAGGTTGCAAAGTAGCGCGTGGTGAAAAAGCTGGTCATGTAGTTGAGGGCGCCGCGTAGTCTTTCATCATCAATCTCAGGACAGGTCATGTGTTGATCATAGTCCCTGAGAAAACGATGTGGTTGGATCTTGTGTTGTTGTGTCAGGTTGGTCTTTGTCAGTAGTGTGAAGCCGTCGTATTGAATGCTTTTGCAAAGGATTGTAGTAATGGCTTTGTGTTGGAAGTCGTGTAGTTGGTCGCGGGTGTTGAGGTAGTGCAGGAGGTCCGGTAGTAGTAGTGGCATGTGGTAGTTCCAAATGTGGTTGTTCTTCAGGCTGTAGGTGTCGGTGAAAGTAGTCATGTCATACTCCACCTTGTAGACAAGCTGTGGGTGTTGTGTGTTGGAAGGTAGAAGTTGTTCTGGGTCGACATCATGTAGGAGATGTAGTCCCTTGTGAAGTGGACAAATTGTCCGGAGGTAAGATACCTCAAAAAGAATTGTTGTTCAACCTGTAGTTGAACAATGACGTAGGTGTAGTTGTTGTTGGTTGTGGTGTGCAGTGAAGCTGTGTGATAGTAGTGAACATTGGCTGCCTCAGGTAGTGAGATACTGAGCAGTGTGGAATTGTAGCGTGGCATCCGGAGGTCTCCTGGGATGCAGTGAATGGGTCGTGTGTAGTCAAGTTGTGAACGTGGAGTTGCTTGTTGTTGTGAGAGTAGTTGATACCCTTCAAGTGTAAGTGCAGTGAAAAGTTGAGCGTAGGGAGTGTTGTTGTGCAGTGGTGGCGTAGTGGTAGTCTGGTACTCCGTGAGGTGTAGTTGCTCCATGACGGCTGCCGAATTGTAGTAAGCCGTAGTGCCAGGCGTGGAGTGGTTGAAGCGGTAGTTGGCCTCGGTGTAGTTCTGAGGAGGTGGTGTTCCTTGATCACTGGTGTCAGTAGTGATGGCCACCTCAGGTGTAGTCGCCCTGTCAGGCGTAGTCGCTCCTCCCATCGTAGCATCTGCAGTAGATGGTGCGGACATTGCTGCAGCGGAATGCAAAATGTAGTGAAACGGGGCAAAACGAATGAGCCTGAGTAGTAGCTATCAGGCAGGCGGCGCATGCAGAGATGTAAACTCAAGCCGCCAAAAAAACGAGTGAACTTACATGTTGTTACTGTACCAAAAGTGTCGTGTTACAGGTAGCTACTTGCATACAAAAATATTCAATTTCGTTGTTGTCGTTGTGGAACTGTTGCGCTGGTCGTTCGTAGTGCTAAATGCGTATCCCAATGCTCTGGATTAGCCTGTGTAGCGTTTCCTTGCTGATGTATTTGGTAAACAAATCTGCGCTGTTGTGAAGTGTGTTGATCTTAAGGATTCTGATGATGTCGTGTTTGATGAGGTCTTGTGTGTAGAGAAATTTGAGGTTGATGTGCTTCGCTCGTTTGCTTGTGCCTTGTCGTGTAGCGATGCTCTTGCCTGCTGTGGAGTCTGCGTGGATTCGTAGGTTTAGCTTGCTGCAAATGTTGGTTTCAAGTGGGAAGTTTCTGAGGTGTAGTTCCTCATTAACTCCCGTGCAAATGGCATAGAGTGCAGACTCGGCTGAACTAAGTGCTATTGTAGCTTGTGTTCTGCTGCCAAATGCAACTGTTGTTCCTAGAAAGATGATGTTGAAACCTGAAGTTGATTTCCTGGTAGCAGGGCATCCTGCCCAGTCAGCATCGACATGAACGTTGAGATCCAGGATGTTGTTGGTGTTTGCTCTGAGTGTTGTTGTTGGTTCTATGGTGAATTTGTAGTGTTTGGCGCCGTGCAAGTAGCGTAGTAAATGTTTGACTCTCTTTTGTGAAAGTTCTGTAGGTGCTGTGAGGTCTCGTGCTAGTTCTTTTGTAGCATATGCGATGTCTGGTCGTGTGTATGCTGACCATTGAAGTTTGCCAACAATCCTTCTGTACCTTTTGTGTTGTTCGTGGTGAAGAAGCGCTTCATCCTCTATTGTTGGCTTGTAGTGGGCGATTCCTGGAGTGGTCACCGCGTTGCAGTTGGTCATTCCAGACTCCTCGATCATGTTGTCGATGTAGGAGTCTTTCATATAGTCCAAGATTGCAGTAGTTACCGAAGTGGTCGATGTTTCTTCCCAGGAATTGTTGTGGTTTGCCAGGCTCGAGGTAGCCAATGTGCTTGAGTAGAACCTGCTTCTGGATGGCCTCGAAGATCGAGCCAACCGTAGTCTTGTCTCCAAGTACCAGTAGATCGTCCACGTAGACCATGATGTAGCAGTCGCGAGTCGCATTGGTGTGGACGTTAGGCTCTGACTTTAATCTTACAAAGCTGATCTTTTGTAACACTTCAGCCAGGTAGTCCTGCCATGCTTTTGGTGAGCTGCGTAGTCCATACATGGCCTTAGTTCATCATCGACGGTTTGTTCGGGACCATTACTGCCATACACAGTTGTGTAGTAACATCAACTGCTGTCAGTACTGGTATGGTCGTTGGTTCTTGTTGTGATTTGATGTAGGCAAAGTCTACTTGAATGACGGGTTGTCGTGATTGTTGTTTGTTGTAGTTGTCCTGGCGTCCTTGGCCTTGAACGCAGATTGGACACCAATTTCTGAATGGTAGGTGTGTCAAATTGTGTTCTGCTATTTGTTGTGGGGTTGGCTGCTGCGGTTGTCGTAGTCCTCTTGCTCTGTGTGCTTCATGATGCTCGTGTTGTTGTTCATCACCGTGGTTCTCCTGGAGGTACTCGTAGTCTTCACGGTGAACCTTGTTGTTCCTTTCTATTGAAATGGTAGTGCTGCGTCGCCCATGACTGTCCAGTCCTCTTTACGTTGTGAAACTTCTCCAAAGTTGTTGTGAGTGATTGTAGTTCTGTGAGGCTCAAGTGTGCTGATTAGTGGATATCCTGGTCCATCTGTTGGAGTGAATAGTGTAGTTCTATCCTCCTGTGCTGTGAGTGGTCTATGTATTGTCTCCTTTGGTTGTGTGGTGTCAAGATCTGTAGAAGGTGCTGCTTTAGGTCTCGATATCTTTTGTGGTGCTCGTAGTTGAATCTTTGATCTGGTTGGTGGTGTGTCCATTAGCCGTTGTGGTTGTGAGCTCTGCCTTGTTGGTGTAGTCTTCGATGTTGCTCTGCATGTCGGTGCTATCTTTCTTCTGAACCTGGTTTCTCCAGTCCAGTTGTCGCCTTCTAGTCTTCGTTGTAGTTCTTGCTTGGAGAGTTGTGTTGGGTTCTCTTGTAGTTGTTCCTGCTCTTGCCCTTGTCTATTGATGATGGTTAGTCGCCAATCATCTAGTTCTTCTTCTGGTATTGGGCAACCACTGTTGTGTGGTGTGAACAATGCTTTGCGTGGTCGTTTGTGGACTCTGATGGCTTAGTCACCATCCATTTTCCAGTCGTCAGTGTTTCCACCAAGGATCTGTCGCAGTCCTTGGTCTGTGTGTGTGTGAGTGGTGCAATTTGTTCTTGTTGTTGTTTTGCTTTCTCTGTAGGTTGAATCACAGCGATGGATTTTCCATTGTCTGTAGTCATTGAGTAGATTTCGAACCCTGTAGCGATGTCGATCTTCTCTGCTCGTAGGTAGAAGAGTCCTGAGTGTCTTATGAGGTGCGCTTGCTGTTGTCCATGTGTGATGGCAAAGTGTCGTGGATTGAAGTCGAGTCCATATCCTGTATCAAGCAGTCTTGATGCACTGAGGATTGGACACTTCACATCACAAACGTAGTAGGGTATCATGATCCTGAAGTTGATGCCGTAGACAGGAATCTTCTTGTTGGTAACCGTGTAGAGTTGTGGAACTGATTCTCCACAAGGTCGTAGCGGTAGGTCTGGTGCGTAGTCCTTTGGGCAAACATGTGTAGATGCCCCTGAGTCGATCAGCAGGTGATGGTATGACTTGAAGTTGGAGTACATGGTGTAGTGTGTGAGGGTGTCCTCAATCTTCTTGTTCCTTTGCTGTTGTGTTGCTGCTGCTATGTCAAAGTGTAATTGTGTTGTGTCTTCTTGTGGGAATTGTTGAAAGCTCTTGTTGTTTTCTTGCCAAGTAGTGATTTGGATTTGTGCTCGTGTAGTAGTGACTTTGCTTGTCTGATGTGTCCAATGGTGAGGTGTGACTCGTTGATGCCTCCAACGTAGTTTGCTGTGTCTTCGTAGCTGTTGTCATTCCAATCCCAGCTGTTGGCGTAGTCGTAGTCGTTCCAGTTCTCCTCCATATAGTTTACCTCGTGTTGTCCTTCTTCTCCTTCGTGGTACCAGTCCCAGGTGTCGTTCACATCCTGAGGTAGTCCTTCATTGTTGTCCTGATCTGCTTGTTCTTGTTCTAGCGGATGTAGTTCTTCTCCTTCTCCTATGTGCCATACCGGCACTCTGCAGTCCTGTGCGCAATGGTCAGGCTTGCCACATCGGTGGCATGTCATGTAGTTGTTGCTTCCTTTTCCTTTTGCTTTGCTGTAGTTTCCTTGGCCTTTGTAGCCCTTGCTTGATCCATCTCCTTTGGGTCCTGAGTAGCCGTTTCCTTTGCTCTTGTTGTGCCCTCCTTTGTTGTAGCTTCCTTTACTGCCTTTGTGGAATCCCTTGTAGTGTCCTTTGCTCCTGTACTTGGCCTTTGCTTTGCTTTTGCCTTTGCTTCCTTTGTAGTGGCCTTTGCCTTTTCCTTTGCCTTTGTAGGTTCTTCCTTTCCTCCACATGTTGTCAACATCCATTGGTGCAGCTCCTCCATTGTAGTTTGTGCCTACTGCTGAAGTCGATCTTGAGAAGGCTGAACTCGTCTTGTAGTAGTCCAGGATGGCTGCTCTGATCTCGATGTAGTTCGTGATCTGTCCAGCTTTCAGTTGGAGATGTTGCTGCAGTGCTCCTTTGGTCTTGTTGAGTAGTATTGCTATTTTTATTCCATCTGGTAGTGCTGCGCCGTCGTCTTTCTCGTAGCGGTTGATGTCGTTATTCCCATTGTAGGAATTGCTCTTCAAACTGCGCTTCATTGAATGTAGGTTCCAGTAGCCTGGTAAGGTAGCCAACGCTTCTTGTTCCTACTGGTAGGCTGAACCTGTTGTGTAAGAGTCGCAGTGTGTCACATCCATTTGCGTTGTAGCGGTTTTGCCTGAGCACTGTAGCTGCTACTCCCTGACAGATGTTGATGAGGATGTAATGTAGATCTCTGGAGAGGTCTACTGCTTTGCTTGCTTGTGTAGGGTCGAGTATGTGTGTTCTGATGTCTGTGTCCTCAATCTGTCGTGTAGCTACTTGTGCCAGTTGTAGCACCAGGTCGAAGTCTCGGTCTATGAGGCCGAGGTGTGCTTGTAGTTTGAAAAGCCATTCTTCATACTGGGAGAAGTCACCAGTGAAGAAGGGTGGTGGCAGTTTGTATCGATGTAGTCTCTGAACGTCGTTGTCTTGTCCTGTTCCTGTTCCCGTAGTCGTGGCTCCTACTGTTTCTGCTGTTGGCCCGTTCTCTGCTCCTGTAGTTTGTTGTGCTGAGGCTGATGCTGCTTCTCCTGACATGTCGTAGTAGTTTGGCATGTGATTGCTGTTGCAGTTGTTGTAGTACTTACTGCTGAATACTGGAGCTCCCCTATGTTTAGGATCCCAGCTCCGCTACCATGTTAAAATCAGTTGTTACTTTGGCTACAAGGGCAAGTGCTGTAGTGTTCACACAAACAGAAACCAATGTAGTCTGCAGCTGCCAACCTGTTCACTAGTCGTAGTAAGCTCAAGGCCTGCAGTAGTGTACATGCATGCAACAAGTGCAAGAAGTGAAGCATGTAATTTGACACCTATATCCCCCCTCTCTCTCTGTCTCTCTCTCTCAAACGACAAAGGCAATTTGCTCATGATTTCTGGAGTCTTCCTTCTCAATTTCGCAAGCAACGGATAACCAGCTGACTTTGGAACTTTGCTTCTCGCACATATCCGAGGTTACTAAAGACCAGGTGCAACAAGAAACTGCTCGAGTTTGGCCCATTGACAAGCAAAACCAGCCGTGCGAGCCATGCAGAATCACCAACCATCACGACGAACTTGCCACATCCAAAAAGCATTCGAAATCTCCGGGCGATGCAAAAGTCACCCGTGAGGCCGGTGAGGCGGTATCCATCACTCTGCCGCCAGCCCCTCTCGCGCTCGCCGTGCCTGAGCGGCCTTGGCTTGGCGCCTCTTCTCCATCAGTGCCACGGATCGGGCCGCCATGCGCGGAGCATCCACGAAGGTCTGGCGCTGGTCCAGTCACCCGGACCGAAAAGGAAGCCTTATCCAAACGATAGCAAATAAACTGCAGTGAACGAGGATTTATAGAGCTTAAGGAGGAAACCTATCATTCAGCATGTCTATCTTGAATTGGGATTTAAATAGAAACTTTGTTGCAAAAAAGATGGTGATTCAACTTCATTCCCATTTACATATACTTTAAATACAAAAATAGTGAGCTTATATTGTGTTTGACTTAGACTAATAGAACTGAAACTGCATTGTTCTCGTATTGTTGTTTAACTCAGTTTGAACATTGCTGTCCTTCCGTATCAAGTTCCATGCACCATCTAGTTAAATATCAAAAAAGCTTTAGCTTAAGATAGATATTATTGAGTTATGTTCTGACTAAGTTTCATTCAGGATAGAAATTGCCATCAAACTCCTTTGAACAGGAATTCCTTCTTCAAAAAGCTCAAAGAAACAAAACCAATCTGGCAGCTGAAAATCTTGGCACACGGTAAACAGAAACCGGATACACAACAACATTTAAACAAATCAGTGAACACACAATCTGCCAGAGACAATATTGGCATACCCCATGATCTCTACTATATTGTTGCTCGCCAACTTGTAAAGGTCCTAACATGTCCTTTGTCTATGTATTTTGTTGTTGTTGTTGTTGCTGCTGCTGCTGCTGCTGCTGCTGCTGCTGCTGCTGCTGCTGCTGCTGCTGCTGCTGTTGGTGTTGTTGTTGTTGTTGCTGCTGCTGCTGCTGCTGCTGCTGCTGTTGTTGTTCTAGTTGTTTGTGTTGTTTGCGTGTGTGTGTTTTGTTTTGCAAGTGAGTAAGTGTCCACCATTCCCTTTACCTGTCTTGTTTGGGATGTACCGATGTTCTTTCGGTTTGCATCTCATAAGATCAAAGCCAAAGGTAGTACATAAGGAGGCAAAAGTGGTTGGGCCCAAAACCCACCGCTCAGGACATCCCTTTCTGCTCCGAAAAAGTGGTAGCCGCATATTGGGTTCCGGACTGGGACACCCGGACACACTGTAGTTGTGGCTCCTTCACCCACAAACACATGCCACAGCGGCATCACTAGAGATGGCACATAGCAGCGCCACGACTCGTTCGACCAGACTGGTGCCAAACCAAGATCTTGAGAGGATAATCTTTAATTGGTCAGGGCATCTTTAAACACATGCGCAAGCTTACTGCAAATGAACTCAACGCAAAAGCAGCTTTGGCCACCCCATGCTCGAGAAGAATAGAACAATCTCAGCCTAGTTGAGCGACTGGCCCGGTCAGTTCCCATCCTGCAGGAACCCTTTTTGACCTTCTACTAAAACCCGTGGCGAGAGCGAACATCCTTCATCCACGTGGTCAGGGAATCCTTACATGCACATGTTTTGCAACCTCGTCCCATTGACGGCGCCGAACAAATCATTCCCTTCGCGGAGTCAGCGTGGGTCTCTGCGACTGGCACCCATGGGTTCACATGTGGAACATCCCAAAACGCGTCGAGAACGTCTCGGCAAGAGTGTCCAACCGAGGGATATTGAGATAGTGCAGGGCCATGGCCCAAAAAGCCCATCCATGTTTCTACACATGAGGTCCTTAAATCCTTGAAGCATTTGCCAATTCATTTGAGAATGAGGGACCTCAACAGATTCGTTTCGAACACTTGAGGTCACCCTCGTGATTTCAGGTGATTTCAACCACGTTGCCTGCTCGCCGGGAGGCGCCATCACATCGAGGTCGTTGGATGCCTCCCTGCGCGGTCAGCGCAAACCCGTGGATTCTTGGTTTTAATTGATGGTGCTTTAGATAGGCCTACAAATCTGGTTAAACCAGGCGGAAGCACCTACTCAAATGGATAGGGTTCTGGGCTTTCAGCTGATTTCACAAGTCAGTGTGAAAGCCATTTCTAGGAGGTAATCTTTGTTTGGAAATGATCGCACACTGCCAAGGACCGGAGAGAACCGTGTGCAAAATAACCGAGTCGCATCCGATGTTCCAACACTTGCCGTTGAGGAATGAATCAATGGCCATGGCTTCTTTTCCTGGCATCGTGATGCGCTGCCAAAGCGACGGGCCCTCAACTAAACTTGTCTACTGCGCAGTGCGATGCCCAGTTTCGTTGCATGCCAACAACTTCCCCGGTTTATGACGACTTGCCGAACTGCCCGCAGCTGGCTGATGAGGCTGGGCTGGTCAAGGTGGCCACAGTGGATTCCATGAGAAAGAAGAGAACCCGATTGGTGCTTGACCTTACAGGGACACCCTCCAAACAAGGGAAAAAGGAAGGTCACCACTGGTATGGGATGGCTGGTTGGCTTCCTAGCGGGAAACCCAGCGCGCCTCCAAAAAACCCAGTCGACTTGAAAAGTGCTTTTCAGACCGGAAAGCGCCCCAAAAATCCTTCGCGTTGCTCACGCTGAATCCAGCCATTGAGCTGAACGAGCCCCAGTCTTCTTAGTCTTCTTGCCGACATCTTGCTTTCGCACGTGGCGATCCTGCCCCCCGATGCCTGAAGAAAGTGGTTCGCTGCATCTCAGGAAACTATACCTCAAAGAAAACCAAACCCATCATGCTGAAGTGATCCTCTTGCCACCTGAGAACTTTGGCATACCAGGGGGAAGTCTAATTGCTAATTTGGGGGCATAAACATACCGAGGCAGTCTTGAGAGGATCTCTGCCGCAGACTGGGGCGCTTAAGCTCCCCAAACAGCCAGCCAACTGGACTGGGCGTCTTCCCACCAAAGGGCTTCGGAAGCATAAGCCTGGCCTTTTAGATGGTGTTCAAGCGCAACCAAAGCAAACTACCCTTGTCGGTTTCCCGAGTTTGAGCCAACCCAACTATTGAATGCTGGCCAAAAAAATCACTCGATCTAGCTCCGGCTGTCAGGGCCAGCCATTCAAGTCCTCTTCCGGTCACATGGGCATCCACCATCATAAAAGCCAATGCTCACAAAGTATCCATTGTGCTCACATTATGCTCTTTCATGGGAACACAAAAGGCTCTGAATACAACAATTCCCTGCCGCAGTCCTTACTGCCGTTGGACAGACATGTGCAAACGAACATGCTCATGGTCGCCACCCCGCCTTTCAATGTCCGATTTCTGTGGTGTCCACGCAGAGACAATGTGTGAATCGGATGGCTTGTCCAAGGTGGTGCATCGTGACATGAAGCATAATGTACATCGTATCCTATATTTGGTTGTGCATTTTCAAACTCATGACCATCTGAATAGTTGGTCAATGTCATTTCCATGACAGCTGCTGCTGTTGGGACAAACAGCTTGAAACATCAAACAAGGGCTATTTGCAGAACATGGATCACAACCTGCCCAAAACATCTGGCAAATAGTGGAGTCTCAGTGAGCAAACACAAACATATATCGCTATGTGAACTGTCAACGAACAAAGTATTTCAACAAACGCCTTCAAGAACTGATTGACTAAACGCGGGTAACATTTTGTGAAATGCTACAAAGAGCCTTCAGCAGCCTCCACCAACGCTCTTTTTTCCATATGGGGCCTCCCACACCTCAGATCATCGCTCGTTGGATTTCAGTGAACCCTAGCTGGGATAAGTGATTTTGTTGCCAATCTGTTGCTCTTTCCCCGCTCGCCCTGGAACCGGCCGGCCTTGTAAATGGCATTGGACAAGTGTAGGATGTCCAGAAAATCGCTGCGGCATGCCAATGGCGCGCGACAGCAATGCACATGCAAACATGGCTGGAGCACAGGGGTGGCACCAAAACAGTTCATTTCTTCGGGGCCCGATGTGGTTTCCCCTTCGTCTCATCGCATGCCGAAAGCCCCACAAAGAGTCCCTCTGTTGAGAGCCCCGAATGAACTCGGCACTCGCGCTTTGATCCCGATGGCTGTGAGGCCTGACAACAGCTCAGTGGACCCTCGAAGTACAGAATGCCGCAGGTTGCTGTCATCTGGGCTCCGGGATGAGACTCTCCCGCAAGTTAACATGGAATGCACCAAACACCAAACCATTCTGGACAAATCTCGCTGTGGGGGACCCATTGTGTTATCTTCCATCTTAATTTGCAGGGGAGTAAAGCAGGCCTTGCCTGCCTGCCAATGATCAGCATGCGCAACTTCGGCGCCCAAAGCAGCCGAGCTCAACCATTCAAATGGCCTGTCTTGCTGTGCTTTCAAACAAATCAAAGTCTAGAAATCTGCAATCTCCCAGCAATTGCGGCTGAAGTACGGCATCACATCACTGTATTGGGCAAACCTGAGGATATATACTCTTGATATCCGAGTGACAAATTGTGATTACGTCTCTTTTTCACTCACACCCAGTTCATTGCCATGCGCTAAGAAGGAATATCTCATCAGTAAGGAAACCTTTCGAATGGCACAAACTGCGACATTGTCTCTCTCCATCTCACAGCACCCGTCTTCTTGCTCAAGAACTCACAACTGTGTCTGTCTTGAGTGGCGCTCAATACTCTTGTCCCAAGGAAACCTCTTGGAGTGACACTAAATATCAAACAAACCAAATGAAGGTGCAAGGTGCAGTTCCAACTGTCGACCCGCCTTTGGGGTTGAAGCAAGCCCAATTCACCCAACCGACGTTTGCAGTGCCTAAAGCAAGAATCTGAACAACTGCATGCAGAAATCTCTGCGCAATATGCGAGTGAAAAGTTCGGATCTGGCACATGGGGGGAGGAAAGGCCCAGACTAAGGGAATCCCCAGAATCTGGAACCTTCAGACATGAATGACTCTGGATCCTTGGCCAGGCCAACCTCAAGCTGATTAGGTGATAGAATTGGAAGCAAATCAAAACTGCGTAGCATATCAGCACGTGTCAAACTTATGACATTCATCCGTTGGGCAGGTACTGAGTCGCATGCTTCGAGCGGTTGCCCACTCATTGGGCACTCAAACACTTCTGTGTGCTTGTTGGCATCCATACAGATCCATGTTCGCGGATCCATACGGGGCCGTGACATAAATGCGTCAGCATGGACCCCAGATAGCATGGGAAATTGGACCGGAATGGCACACATCTTTTGCAGCGATTCAACTCTGCCAGTAAGGAAACATGATGATCCTGTGCCATGAACCATCATGCGCTATTTACAAGCACGGCCAGCGCCCTAAGGAATTTAAACGCATCAAATGGATTTTGGTAGTATCAGGGTGATACCGTGGACACGAACCATTCTGCGCTACTATTGAGCACGAAGAGCGTCCTACAATGAATTTAGCAGCAGCATGCTGATTTTTGCAGATCATGATGATGATTCTGTAACCCCGAACCATCATGTGCCATTGTGAGCTACATAGCAGCACAACAGCGTCTTCATGAATTCAGCAGCAGCAGGGTGATTTTGTCAGCATCATGCTGATACCACAGGCATGAACCATTCAGCGCTATGTGCAGGCACAGACAGCTTCTGAATAAATTCAGCAGCATCATGATGATCTCGGCAGCATCATGATAGTAGAGCCACAAATGACCCGCCCACACGCAACATGGCAAATCCAACGACATCAAAATATGCTTTAACAGTATCATGATGATACCGCGTCCACGGACAGTTTTGCCGACCAGCACCGCGACCAGAGCCCACAACAGCATGCTGGCGGACTCTGGTCAGTAGCCTTGAGCACACCAAACAACACCTTGCCAAACATCACCCTGACCAACACCAGCAACAAACAAGCACCGCCAGCAATTGCCACCGCAGTACCGAAAGCACACAAACAGCACCCTCACCAGGACCCAAAATAGAACCCTGACCAGCACCAAACAGAACCCTGACCAGCACTCACAAAAGCACCTTTGCCAGCACCCAACAGCATCTAATCTGCATTGCAAAACGAGCACCGCCAGCAACCACCACAGCACCCTAGGCACACAAACAGCACCCCGACCAGCACCAAGAATAGCATTCTGACCAGCACCCTGACCAGCACCCTGCAGCACCTGAAGCACCCTGACTGCAGCGCCAAACATGAACCGCCACTAACCAGCGCCACAGAACCTTAAGCACACAAACAGCACCCTGACAAGCACCATGACCAGCACCTGCAGCACCCATGTGGCCCGATTTCGCAAACAAACTGCGCATCTTTACAACTAAGAACCCCTATATGGCTCATGCTATCTGGGGAAAAACACCGTTTGGTGACCAGTTGACCGATCTATCGCTCGACGCGAAGAGGCTGCCAAGAAACCGAGGGATCCCAACCAGGAAGCAAGCTGAATGAGCAACCAAATGCTCGGTGTTGACATTGAATCCATCAAAACGCATGAAAGGCAGGTTCCAACCAAGCCTCTATTCAGAACTGCCGATCAGTCCAATGATTGACGTTGATACTATCGTGATGTAAGTTTGGGAACCTCTTGACAACTGGACATGATCTATTCTACACTCGTGCGAAATTGAACTTGTCGATAGCATGGTCAGGAATCACGGGACAATCTTGAAAAAGCAAAGCTGCCGTCTGTGCAACTCAGCAGTGGCTTATCATCCAGGACAAGAGCCGTTTTTAGTTTTATAGGACATACGATGCGAGAAATCTGCTTCGGCATACCTCGGTTCTCATGGCCGGTCACCTGGACATATGATCTACTCACAACCCGCACAGGCATTCCATGGTTTTACCCTGTCTTGCCGGCATGAGTCTGATTCACGAAAGCACCCTAGCCCAGCCATGGCCATAGTTCTTTTCATCTTTGCATATCATTGAAGTTGCAAACCCTTCCACATGTTTGTCTCTGTAGTTTGATGATGCAAGGTCAGGCGGGAGTGCCTTCTGGGTGCTTCCGAAGTGCAACGACACGTTGTGCCGAGAAGCGCACAATACTTTCGATGCCGATCCGAAGTGTTTCTTCGGCTACTTGCTTTGGCATGGATTCACGACTAAGGAGAGCGGCTGGCTCTCAAATGACCTATCATGACGGCCATCAATGCACGTGACTGGCCCTTAACATTGTGAAAGCTTTCCAGACATGTGGACTTGTAGTGCTTGCATGATGTCTTAAACCGTTCGTAGATCGGTAGCCGTGACATCTCAAATCAAATGTGAAGTCATAACCGTCGGGTTATGTTGGCCCACCACGCCCACTCCACGCTGTTCGGCGCTGGCGTGGCATGTCCCTGTGCCAAATGCTGATATATCTTTTGCCTGGTCAATATGTTCAAGTCGATCAAACGTGGTTGACATGACACGACTTCAAAGCGCACCCCAGACAAACACGCCTTTTGACGAGAAATGCTAGTCCTGCTAGGCTGCGGAGCAGGCAGAAAGGCGAGCCCTGACTTTAAATACAGGAGGCACCCTCTATATGCAGGAACGGTGTTTAAACAGTTAAGCGTCGAAAAACAGCCAGCAGCTTCCCCTACACTAAGGTGCCAATGGATTCGTGGCAGTTGAAGTGTTGCAAGGTCACAGCCTGCACTCCACGCTGGACTGCTCCTCTGAGATCGGGCTATATGGCTGATCCCTCAACCATAAAGGGCATGCCTTTTCCAACCAGCCAGGTGACGCGCCTACCGGAATTCCGCCAGGGATCCGAAGCCAACCTGAGGAACGATTTTCCAACATTGGTAGTATGGGTCCTAGGCTACGCGGGGATGCTCCATGCTGTGAAGAGTCATCATGTTTGCCGGAATCTGTTCTTGGAATTGCCACAAAGTGGCTCTAGGGGAAGCTGAGAGCTGAACAGCTGAAAACCGGCCCTGTCATCACGCCATCTCTGGAACTCGCTTGGAGGTGGAGTCACGCCGAGCCCAGAGTTTCCGGTGCGTCTTTGCCTCTTTCGACTGGCAAAAGACTCAGCCTCATGGAGGCTCCTTGATTTGAATGGAACGGCCCCTTGCGAGTGCTAGAGAACCCTATTTGGGTGTGCCTTATTTTGAGGGTACTGTTGGTTTGAAGGGAAATCACAGGAAAAAACAACTCATTGGGGTCTGGCAGAAGCCCTCAGGATTCCAGCCCAAACTGAAAACAAGAACTTCGCCGGCCTTTGTCTGAGGTTGTTCTGGATCAAAAGAAACAGATAAAGCGCAAGTGTTCCAAGGAAGTTTGCGCGAAATTCTTTGTGCTGCTCTCTTTGCTTCAGACTGGAATCGTGATCATCATGCTGTCTGTCTCGGGGCAGTGAACTTCCTTTTTAAGCCAGTTTCAAAGCGTCTTGTTCCGGCAATCACCAGCCAACAAGCAAGGGTCAAATGTCCGGTTCACCCAACTTGAATGTTTTGTGTAAGATGAGATCTGCTGGACACCTGGAATGTGTTCAGTTCAGCAGCTGCTAAGAAGACTCGAGGTGACGCCACATCGTGATGCCCTCTTGGCCATGCTTCCGGATGACATCTCAGATATCACATTTCCAGGACAAAAGCAGCCTTGGAAAAATCATGAAAAAATGGCGGCGGTGGTTCCCAGGATTCCACCTTCGTAGTCATATCTTCAGGCGCTACAAGGCATGCGATTAATTATTTTGCCACCTCGGCACCTAGCGTACTGCACCTCAACAATCGAAAGGGGAAAGATCGTGAAGACATCACTCTTCCTGAATCATCCACTTCTTTTGGTGAAAACTGCGGACTACCAACCCTTTGGTAGTGATGTGTGAGGCAAAGTTGCATGCGGCTAGGACCTCATAGTCATAGACCTGACTCAATTTTGTGAGAGCTCAGAAGCGCATCCGCGCGCACTTCCAGGCAACATCATCAGCCAAATGGGCCAAATGCTTCAACACATCCAATCAAGTTGGGGAGACAAGCCTCAGAAAGGATCCGGAGTCACAAGCTTCCCGGGACGCCCCTTGGAGCCGAGATCGCGTTGGCCGAATGCCTGGCCCTCCCGCCAATGATGCAGCTTCTGGGCGCCCATCACGCGCAGAAAGAGTCTATTTCGCACATTGTGCTGAATTAGGAGACCGGCCAAAGACGCCGAGCCGAAGCAAGAAGCACATGTCACACACCTCAATCATAGCTTGCTGGCCTCCAAAGACTCACACGTGCGTCGAAGTTCGGCATCTTCCGCACGTGTCTTCCTTTACACTTCTTCTGTTTCTACGGAATTAGGATCCGAAACTCACTGACACCCCCAGGTGCTTGACCACCACTGCCAGAAAGCCTCCAGCAAGCTCAAAGTGATGTGCATTGCAGATTGCTTGCCAAAGTCATCTAAGAACTGGTTTTCAAGAGGTCATTGAATCAAGCATCCAACATTCCCCCTCCCTCGAAGCAAGAAACAAGGAAACAACTTGCTATCACGAATCGTCTCCGTGCCCAGCTCGTGATACGCCTCCATGGGATCCTGTTTTGGCTCACCTGCCCCAACAGGCTCACATCAAATTGGGTGCACATGTTGCACTTTGCTTGAGAGTTTTGACCGCCCCAGGATTCTCGTCAAACTCCAAACGAATCCATGTGTTTACTTAACAAAGTGATGATCCATACAACCAAGGTCAAAACAGAAACCTATCAACGTCCACGACTTTCGCGCGCACACCTGCTTCAACACGTCAACTCCGATCAGAGCAGCCCGGCAACCCAACAAGCCAATAGCTCCACTCCGGGCAATATCAGCAGCTGCTTCCTGCTTATCCACTGAGGCCTACTAAAGCCTCTGAAAGGCCCTGTGCAACAGCACCCAACTTTGCTATCTCAAATTGTCGGCTCTGTGCGAACAGCACCTGTCGAAAATCCTCGGCCAATGCACCCAACTTTGCTATCTCAACCCGCCAAGTTGCCACAAGGGTTGCGAGGCAGACCGCTCACTTTGCCTCGGGCCTGCCAAGGACTGCGCAGACCCCGGCTGCAGTGCGCATGTGGCATTCCAGCAACGCTTCAGCTTGTGCATTTGGGGCCTTCTTTCGTGTTCCTTCAAAAGGCAACCAATGCAAAGAAAGCAAATCTTGGGGAGTCCATTACGAAAAGGCACAGTCACTGCTTTGTGAAGGCCTGAAGGAGTCCCATGACGCAACTTACAACTTACGGCAGGTCTCAACGCGCGCAGCAACACCATGGCTCTAGGGCCAGGGGGGAAAATGACTGGAGCGAGACAACGTGTTGCGATGCAGACTCGAGCCAGAGGATAGTCTACCCCTACCCTCTCCACTAAACCTGGTTCGTGTGACAGCCCTAGTGCAACAAATGACAAACACAGGCAATTCGAAGTGAGATTGATTGGAGCTGTATGCTGTAGGTTCGTTTGCAGGTCTTAGTCCAGTCTTTGACAATGTAACTAGCATGCCATTCGGATCAAAATGATCAAGTGTCGGGTTCAAGCCTAGTGCTAACTTCAGATTAATCCGGAGCCTACTATAGTAGGGGAAATCCCGTGAAATCGGTGATCTCCTTACTAGGGAAACCATAGTTGGCACCCTATGTTGATTCTCACGAACAGCTCTCCTGCCCATAGTGCTCGCTCAAGTTCGATAGCTTTGGGGCATGGTGCGCTGCCAAGGTATCCAGCCCCAATCTTCCGAGTCAACTCAAAAGAAGCCGAGAAACGATGAGAAACGCATGGAATTCTGGTTCGGCAGTACTTAGGCCTTGACTCCGGGGGTCATCTGCTAAGACTGTCCGGTAGAAACTGTCCAACTGAGCTTAAAGAAACTGAGGAGATCCCTTCCCCCCCCCCCCCCGAAATCGTTGTTTTCAGAAGTCGTAGCAACATGTCCCTCATGTTTCAATGCGCCAAGGTCTGAGAAGAAGCGTCTCTGTGCTAGCACCAAGTGAGACTTGCAAGCAATGTCGCATGACTTGCAGCAAGAAAACCCCAAGTACCAACAGGCTCCAACAAAAAGAAGACATCCAAGGTGCAACAGCTGCCCCAAACGCAGTCCGACCCAAACAAGCAATGAAAACAAAAGACACCCTGCCCAGGACGATGCTGAGCCTGCTTGAGGATCTCTTTGAAGGAGACTGTGGCGAAGGATGGGGCTGAGCCGTCCTCGAACGACGAACGGACAAATGAGACCAGGTTGAAAGTCAACTGTAATCTTTAAATTGATATGTTACACTTGGCTTTTGCTGTCTATGTTTGCCGGCTTCTACAGCGAGGCGGGACTTCCGGGCAAAGGTCCAGACAAAGTATGACAATGAACAGTCTAGCTGCCGAAAGATAACAAGAGTCCTACACATCACACCCAGCTTCCGCTGTGCCTTTCGTCTTTGACTTCCAACATATGCTGCGCCGTGTTTTGCGACTCAGCTATCCAGAGCGAAGAGTCAAGGTCTGAAGCAGCTGTGAAGTCTATTCCAAGGAGGCTGTGGTTAGTCTGAAGGAAGCCAATGTAGTCCAATGAGGCACTGCGGAAATCACTCAAAGGCGTGGAGACGAGTCTGAAGAGGAATGTGTTGCGCTGCCAAAACCCATCCTCTTACACTCAGCTTCCCTCCAATCGGAGGGAGGTTCAATTTCCCAAACCACCGATCCAAACCACAAATCAAGGGTTACCTGATACAAGAAGAGGCCAGCCGCCAGCTTGAATTCAACTGCTATAAACGCAAATCCAATACCCATAGAGCAAATTGCCTACACACAGTCCCGCCCGAACCGATGATTTTGCCAAACTTGGCACGTCTAAGCATGACCTGTGGTTGCGTTGCGCCCATTCTGCTGTGCCAGAATAAAGCACACGGCATGCGTAAAATAAATTGCCAGCTGTGGCAACAGAAAAAACATTGGAACCAGTACTACAGATTGAAGCTATGACTGTCAAGTATTATACACTCCCTGGAATTAAACAGGAAGTCCGTGCTCTCAGAGGTCCCTCTACCATGGAAGTCCCTCGACCGTCTTTTTCTGGGGAAATGCTGGTTTTTTTTACTGGGAACGTACGACCACCTCCTAACATAGAAGTTACCTAGGGTGCCCCTCGCCACGACAATCCCGGGAATTTTTGCCAGGAACCCTAGATTCTTGAGAGGAAGTTCGGACCCACGAAAGTGTTCTAACATAGCACCTGAAAATAGGCCTGTGATAACTATTGTTTTTCGGGGGTCAATAGGGAAACTATGATTATGCTAGGAGCAGTTTCGCATATCCCTGAGAAAAGTCGTGAACCGGCATTTCCCCGCTACGCTGAAAATTACAGTGTGTCTGCCCGCTAATGCTAAACATTGCAGTTTCCGAGTCAATCTCACCCCCACATGCTACCTGTCACGTACGTCGTACCTAGGTGGGGGCAGGGCGGGGGGTGGTTTTGTGTGGGGGGGGGGGGGTGTTCGGGGTGTGCTCGGCGAGGGGGGGGGGGGTAGGGATATTGGGGGGTTTGAGGGTGCCGCGGAAGTCAGCTTCGTGTTCTGAAATGCGGAAGTCGACAAAACACACCCCAGCAGGGACTTCTACTTTAGAATTATCCAAAAACATAGTTTTTGACTAACCTGCAAAGAAAAGTTTGGAGTGTACACCGCATTTTGGATGTTAGAACAAGTCACGTCCAACATGTGCTTAAGTTTCAGCTCTTTGTCATCTTCTCAAAGGAAAACACGGTTAAAAAAGCCAGGCTATTGGAAAGAACATTCTTGTAGCGAGCAAGAACGAAGGTGTTGGGCTTGACCGAATTCATGCTTGCTTTGGGAGATTGGTGGCGCTGACACAATGGCCTTGCCGATGCATTCCTGGCTTCCTAGGTATTCCAAAGCATCCTTGGCAATCAAATAATGGTCCGAGTGCACATTCACATCAATCAGCTCCTGAAACCAACAATTCAGATTCACATGCAATTCAATCATGCGCTCAAAGCTTTGTGACACCTTCAGTTGACTCCCTCATTCGCCACCTCTGTGGGTCGGGAACCCTCCGCTCCTGGGGCCACACTGTGAAGCTCACTGTCTGGTTCACCAGGTCAGCACCCACCTGGCAGGTCGGGGTCATGGTTACTTTCCCTCGAACAGCGGGACTGGAAGTGCGACACTTGGAAAGTGAGCTGAAGTTGACGTCTTTGCTTCTGTGTGTGTGTGTGTGTGTTGTTGGGGCTATCCATGCTTTTGTGGCTTCAAAGGGAAACCAGAAGGAAAACCACCATTTTGGGGCCCCTTAAAAAGACACACCCTCATGAAAACAATGGAAAGAGCATTGCTCACAACCCTTTAAAACGCTAGCCCTTCCTTGCAAATCACTGTAGCTTTAGAGGACGAAACAATGATTGAGCCTTCCTCTGCAGCCCAGTCATTTCCAGCCGCTCGGCTTCGCAAAGAAATGAGCTATCTCCAAAATTAAAAATGCAACACCGGAATATCTCTGGCTTCGTTTCTAAGGGTCGCCTTCGTGTTACAGGTTCTAGCCCCCGCTTCCACGAATCGGGTCCCGAATATATGTCCTTAAGTTTTGGGGACTCAAATGGGGTTGCATCAAAACGAGGCTGGGCCTCTCGGGATATCTCGGTGCAAAACTCCATAACACCTTGCAGAACAATGCCCCATGTGACAATGTGGCTATAACAGGGAATAGGGAACCCTTCAAACGTGGTTGGTGGACCTACTTTCCAAGCGAAATGCGCATGCTTTCTGTCCAAAATCCCTTTCGCCTCTAGCCAGTCGCCGATCTCCAGGCACTTCACCCGCTCCTGGCAGCGCTCCACCTCATCGTGGACTCGCACACCTGTCAGCCGGCTGCTTTGCACAGCCAAGTCCCAGTGTTTTCCTCAAATCAGTGCCAGTGGACTACTTCGCTGGCAGGCAATCAGCAATATTGTCAGTCGCCTAAGTTGACCATGGCTCCCTCTGATTGACAGCATGGTTGCATAGATCAGAAACGCCCAGAACAACCCGTCAAGCCAAGCAATATTCAATAAGCCCTTTCAACCAGCAGGATGCTTGGCTTGGCTCCAACTGCTTGTAGGGATTGTAGAAGAACACTGGACACACCATGCTGTGCTGCAATGCACTGAAAGTTGTCCTTTACGCGGGATGTCGTTGCACTGGTCAAAGACAGTGTTGCTCCGAGGCAAACACACACACACACAAAGGTGCTTTTAGATGGCAGGTTGACATCGTTTCTGAATTGTGGCATCGAGAAAACTGTAGTGGATGTGTGCAGGATAGAGCTCGTCTGCTGCTGGCGTAGGCAAACGCACATACAAAAAGCACCAAGGGAGGCTTGGTCAGTACAAATAAGCTTCATGACATCCAATGATAAAGCCAACAGTCCCGGTGCTATATGCTTGTTCAAGCATGGCCTCGCAATGTGTCAGAACCACACCGTGGTTGCTGTATTCTGGTGTGGCCCTGTGATCCTAGCGGTCCTAGCATGCCAATCTGATCAAACCAAGATCACAGAATTACGTCGCTGGTCAACTTGCCACACCAAAGGTGTGATCCAGTAGCTTGCAAATCTCCCCAAGGCCGACATCTTTTAAAACATGACATGACTGGACGAGCAAGTCTAAGGGCAGCACCAGCTTGCCCACCCTCGTGTTGGTCAAAGCTGGCTGCTACTCCCAATTGATTCGGGTGGGTAGTTCGATCTATTTACAGTACATTTGGAGATGTCCCAATCCGTGTCCTCTCCAAATGAACCGCAACTACAGCAAATGTGTCCGTTGCTCATCTGCATTAGCATGAGTAGGGTTGAACGCGGCCAAGGCATCTCCCAAAGCTGCTCTCGCTTGAAAGATAAATGGGAGGGGAAGTGTCACCCGACCTCAAGCCAAGCTTCAAATACGACCTGTGCGGTTGGCGAAGATGGACACAATCTTCTGGATGTTCCGAGTGCAGGGCAAATCCGACGAAAGAATAAAGCCCACCTGCGGCGTGCTCATGGCCGAGCCCATGGAACACCGCAACGAATGACAAGGAGCCCCCACTAAGTTGCTAAGTCTGAGACAAGCGCCCGGATTGCACCTCACTTCAGCCTACATGGCCGGGTCCTGGGCTGGCAACAAGATACCATTCCTGTGCCTGTTCTGACAGAGGATTGAATCTGGGGAACGCATCATTTAGGTTTGGGGTATTGTCTGCAAACCAGTTTGGAAGCTGTTGCCCGCTCAAGTTCAAAGCCACATGACTTGGGCTCAACTACACGACATGCCCAAGCGCGTGGGCAGTTGGCGCATCAAAAATCAGGGATCCAAGTCAGCTGGACACCTCGAATTTTCTTGAAAGCCGCTGCCTCTGGGATTGTTTGGGACCTTTGGCGCACGGAGCTTTGGCCAGCACTTGGCTGAACCCAAGACCTGACCATGTGTGGCCCACGACCATTCTGCCACCCTTCCCCCTCAAAACACATCCGCTTGCGAAATGCAAGCCTAAAACACTCGCAAGTTCTGCCTATTCAAGAGACATGATCATTGCAAACATATTGGCAACGAGCGCGAAGCAACTGAGCGCATTCTCTTGCCTTCTGATTGCAGACAAGGAGGACCAATGTCCAGTTTGACCAGTCAAGTCCTATTGAATCAGTGAGGATATTCCACTTCTGCTGCCCCAATTCAGGGTGCTGTAGACCAAAAGGGGGGCTTAGGGTTGGCACCCAACAGCAAGCAATGTCGTGGAACTCGTCCAAAAGCAAACAAAAAAAGATGGCTGCCGTTATTCCCATCTGGGTAAGCGTCCAAGTAGGGTAACTAGGGGAACCGCCAAAATGGATGGTTTCCTGTTGGTTTCCCTTTAAACCAACCCCGAAAACGGTACCTTTCGCCTCAAAAAACACCCACTGCCAGTTCTTCACTTGCCCCCAAATCGAGGCACTCCATCCGCACTGCAAAGCTCGCCGTCAGTGAATTGGACCTCGCCATGGGATTCCCGCGTGGAAGCACATGCGGGGCTTGGCAACATGCTCTGGAGGATCTGAGCCCCTGAGGAACTATTACCCTCCCACACATGGAACCTGCAAGCGACCCTCCAGATGCTCTCTTTCAGGATCCATGTTCGTTTTTAGGAGGGCCAGGAGGGCAAGTGGACTCCCATGTACGAAGAAATGCTGCGAGAGGAGTTTGTGAACCCTCAAAAACTCTGCTTTCCTCGAATTCACTCTGCACACTTCCAACATGAGTCGGGGCACGCTTATCTGCGGCTTTTGCTCGAGCGCGAGCATTAAACAAGAACGGGCTGACATGTGTGTGTGTGTGTGTGTGGGTGTGCGAAGTGGCACAGTCTACGAAACGTGGCTCTGTCATCAGAAGCTAAACTCGGAACAAATGAAGCTTGCTACCAAGCAAATCCGCGGCATGGGGTCGGTGTGTTCTGCGGAGAGTTTGTTCTTAAAAGGGTCCAGTTTGTTACAGCAAACGGGGATATCTGCACCTCATGGCCTGATTTCACTTGTGGCAAGTGGCCAAACAAGCTTCACCTTCTCAGCTTCCTTTCTGATAGTGTCATGAAGACATGTATTGGTTCGAATTCCAAGGTTCTTCCCTGCAATATCTTGATAGATACAAATCGTGCGTGTGTGTGTGACTTATCTCGTACTGTTTGTCATGTCTTCATTTGGCCAAATATCATGATGCCTGAGGCAAAGGAGATCAAACAACGACACCATGGAGAACGCTTTTAAAGAACCAAGGCGCCGCATAGCGCACAGAGCCCTGGAAGTGGACCTTGTTCTCGCTGATGATACTCAGCCTGCCCTGCAAGTCAGACCAGCCAGCGAGGATCCAAGCCAATGTACCAACCGATGCTTATGACCCCCACTTGAGACAATGAGGCGTGCCAAACTTCACTTCATGACCTGCTAGTCAATGGCGAACTGCCAACGCGTAGTGAGCATATTTCTCGGCACTTTGCCAAAGCATTTTGGATGCATCAAGTTTGACCATAGAACAATCTCGCCACAAGCTTGAGAAGAGCGCATGTCTTGGAGTCATGTGTTGCTCAAAGCGGCATGACGTGTCCCGCCAGATTGGGCCCACAGAGCAAAGTCTTGCAGCCACATGGAGAAATCCCTGCCTTCATAATATACATGTTCAACATTGTCTCACTTCAAAAGACAATGGCTGCTTTGCAGAAGTTGTTGCGACGAAGGTCAGTTCACACACAATCACAAACATTGCATGCAAAAGGAACACTGAGTCATGAGCCGACCTGCTATCAAAGAAACTTAATTACCTAGAATCATGTGAGGAAGCGGCACCAATTCATGGTTGGGGCTGTGACGTTGGATTTGAAAACTCCTGTAGGAGAGCCTGAGGGAGGCTGGCAAAGCAGTGAGAAGGGAAGAAACGCCATGGTTTGGAACAAGCCCGAGGCCTTGTTGTAGCGCTTTGTGAAGGTGCGCGCGTCGGAAGACAGGACGCCCATGCAGGAGCTCTTCTGGTGGAAGCGGTGGGACTTGCCAACAGGCGGGCCTGGCGCACATCTTTCCGCCTCTAAATCATTCCACCTTTGCGCACTTCCGCCTGACGGTACATGTCAAGGCCCAAATGATTGTTTAAGAATGTGGGTGCACCACGGCCGTGAACTTACGACCAAGAGCTTAGATGATTTGTTGAAGCATATAATCATATATATATAGTCATGTTCAGATTTCTCGGTCCCCTTTGTGGTTTGCTCGCTACTACGACTGCCGGTTACCTTTGACGCGGCCTCACGACACATCGGTAAAACATGGACAACCAGAGACTCACGCATGTGTCCTCCTTTCCGTGGTACCCTTTGAGGGGTTTTGAGGGGCCACCATCCGTATGTTGCGCCAAACCCATCACAGCGTTGCTCTTCCATGGTCAATACGTCCTTCTTGCCTGTGGACAGGATGCTCTCCTCCTGCCCGTGCTGGAGACCAGGGGAATTGATGGCAAAACGCAGCCCCCCCTCCATACATTTTTGCGCTGGCACCCACGAAGAGAAAAAAAAATCAGAAGAGAAAAGGTGCTATTCTTTAATTGGAGATAAGGCTTCCGCTTCGGTAGATCGCGTAGGGGGTCGGGATCATGAGACCTACCAGCATGAGTGGCGAGATCTTGGAAGTGTAGTTGGCTTGGCTTGTCTGCGGGAGTGATTTCTATGTAACCTTACAGCATCAAATCGGTCCCTCGTGTCATGATGCAAATTAACTGGATCCCTTATGGGTGCTCATATGCTACGCACACCTCGGCATGGCTGTGTTTTGGTACACTTGGGGCCCTAAATCTCAGGCCGAGGGCTGCCATTAGCCATTCGCATCAAAAAGGACAAGGGAAAACGGCAAAGTGATGGAAGCCTCTCGCGCACGAGAAACTGAACCCATGGTGGGCACTCATGTTCCTCCCACCTGTCCAGGATGATCTCTTCAGTCCGCTTAACTTGCATTGCTGCATTGATTTGTCATACAAGCCACAAGGACAATGGAGGGGCTTGATATATGATATGCTCACCACCGCTTCTCTGGATTTACATGCTAGCTATGCCCGTTCCACTAGCATGATCACAACTTCACAACCATACTCGATGAGGCTAAACCACGTACCTACATGCTTGTCAAGAAGCAAAGCCCTTGTCAGAGCACGATTATGGATAGTATTGGTTGCTTTCTTTGTTCCTTGGCAAAGGGCCCCCAAAAAACAGCCAAATCAAGGTACTACGCCTATTGAAAGCCCGCATGCCCCTTCCTGCTCCTGCTGCCAGTTCTGGGCTTGCTGTTGCGCCGGGTACTGGAAGTTAAGCATGCTGTTCGGCATGACGTTCATGCCGTTCGGGCCGCTCATCCTGGGCTGGTCACTAGGAAGCCAGGCTCCATTTGAGGGGGTCAATCAAATTCGATGAAGGGGCTCGCAACAGGCAATGAGCATAAACAGCCCTTACGTCTTGTAGAATGACGACAAAACCACGGAGGCGGTCAGAATGCACAAACGTTTATCATCAAACACATCGATGCACTGGATTGTTGCAGCTGATGGATGTGAATTGATGGGTTGAAGCCATCAATCACAAGCATCAATGCTGCAAAGTTCACAAATTCATGCGGGACCATTCCTGGTCAAACAGCCGGTCAAGGATGATGTTTGTGTTGATGATGACTGACGGGAGACCTTGCCCAAGACTAGTACGAGAGAAGGGCCCGAACCACTAGATCTGCCCGCAGCACTCCCAAAGAAACAACTAGCAACACCACTGGGCAAAGCACCTTACCTGTGGCAAGCCTTGCCGGGTTGCCAACTTTGCACTACAGTACCACAGGCGGCGCTAAGCTCCGGCCAACTGCTACGCTGGACAGCCGTTGATCAGCGAGACGGATGGCAAACCGTCCCAACACCTATTTAAATCAAATCACCTGGAAAATTCGCATGAGGTTTGCTTGATTCTGATGGCAGATTGCGGCTGCACCGCTTCACGACCTGCCAAGACAGCAAATCGATTAAAGGTTGAAGACCCCCAACCTTCAAGATGGTTACCCGGGCCTGGAATCTGGACATATGGCAAGATATGGTTTCAGCCTTCGACATGTTCTGCGGCCACGCCGCGGCATGAACGGCATCATGCCCATGCCTGGGTGCATAGGCGGCATGGGAACTGCCACCATGACGCGCTGCTGAACCTGTCAGGCAATTGAAGCTCTCACATGTTGGTAAGCTTCGTGACACATCCCTGCAGCTCCCAAGACGGCAGGATGTTCTGATGTTCTGTTCAGCTAGAAGCGCCTGCCGCGTTCACATAAATGGCTTCCAAGATCCAAGGGCTGTGCGGCGAAGCTAAAACCCTTTTGGGGGTGTGGAGGCAGGTGGACGAGAAAACTAGCGCGAAAACAATCTACACCGGAGAGCCCTTTTTGCTCGTCGCGCCGTCGATAATGCTTGTGGCACCTTCCTTTCCCAGATTCAAGTCAAAACTTTATCTTCACATGAACAACGTTGCCAAAGTTCTCGGATTTTCGAGTGCTTCCTTCGAAGTGTGAGGTGGGAAACCGGCGCGATGATCTTCACTCCGACTTTGAGGCCACGTCAGCGCCGGACGCAGGATTGCTCCACACCGGTGCCTCCTTGGCGGCTTTGCTCAAATCGAACAAGGTCTGCCCGACGTAGGTCGTCACAGGCGCACTCGGCGCCGCAATAGGCCCATAGGCCATCGCCTGTCCCAAAGCATCGATGTCAATGGAGTTGAATCTGACAGGGACCATCCAATCCAGCTTGGGAGCCATCCAGCCCCACACAGGCGGAGTTGCGGCGGCACCCACCAGGGTGCCAGGCTGATAAATTGCAGTGCTCTGGAACTGGTGCTCTCGAATGTTCTTCTCCACTTTCCCCTTGAGGTGGGCATACAATCCTCCTCCTGCGCCTGTACCCTTGTAGTACCAAGTAGGTCCGGCGGAGTAGTCCGCCCCAACCGCAGTCAGTAGGCCCATGTGAGCTGCACCCGCTTCCTTCGCAGCTTTGGAGAACACCGTTGGCAAGGTGACGTCCACCATTTCCAGCTGTTCAGGAGTGGCCGTGCTCGCTGCGCCCACACCCATAGTGATGAAGGCGGCCTCGGCGCCCTGTTTCTTGATGAGGTCAGTCACGCCCTGCATGGCTTCCACGGTCATTTCAGGCATCAGGTGTTGGTGTACTCGTGGGTCCTGAAACTCCGGTATGGAGCGACGGTTGATGAGGAGGACGTGCTGCATTTGGCTCAAACGCAGCAAGTGATGAACCAACTTCCCTCCTACGCTTCCACTGGCGCCCAACACAACAGCAGATGTTGGCCCTTTCACAGCAGCGACAGTGACGGCGGCCATTGCCGTTGGAGACTACAACTGCGGCTTGTATGGCTGCTGTAGCCTAAGTGCGGGGCAACCGTCACGCATTTGTGCTCTGTGCCAGGGTGCTCTGCACAACACGGGTGTTGCTGCAACAGGTTATTTTGCGAAAGTAACAACTCCCAACACTCGACTGAACAAGGTTGCGTGAATGGCTGTAAGAGAGTGACTGGGGAACGGGCCGCGTGCAGCACAAATAGGGTATCGGTTTGGGTGGCGCGGATATCGGTCGGAAATCCTTTGCTTGAGCCCTGCAACTGAAAAGACGTCACCTGCAAGCAACTGGGAAAAGGGAATTAGTAAAGGATTCACGCTTGTTGGTAAAGCACGCGACTGTCAGTACGAAAAAAACATGTTGGATGCTCACATGCCCCTTCGCCCTGCCTGCATGGGGGCCTGCATTTGCATCTGTTGCATCGGCACCTGCATCGTCACCTGCTGCACCTGCTGCACTTGGGGCACCTGCAACATCGGCACGGGCTGCATTGGCAATGGCATTGGCATCACCATTTTCTGCGGCGGCGCTTGCTCCACACTCCTTGGTGCACGAGCTTCCACTCCCGCAACCCGGCATGTTGTTAACATGCATTAACATGTTGCAGGATTCTCGTCATCTGCAATCTGCATATCTGCAAAGGCAGGCATGCTGATGCTTCCCCAGTGCATGAAGCAAACAAATCAAACCCCTGCAAGCAATGAGCCACTGAACATGAGCGGTTCTTTGTCAATAGTCACGTTTCGAGCGGGCATTCCAGCGTGAACCAAAAGTCCAGAAACAGTGTATTCCATCGGATCCAGTCTCGCTCAGGTTTCGCATGCTATTAATTAGTTGAGGTTTTCTCTCTACTTGCTCACTGTCAAGTCTCAGTGCCGAATCCTAGATATTCCTTGCAGCATCATCCTCCGAGAATCGGCAGCGCCCAACTGACGTTCAATCATGGGCAGTCATGGACAACTAACAAACCCGTGGTTTGCCATGTGTTGACCATTCCCCTTGCAAAGCTGAATCTAAAGCTGTGAAAGGTGGTGCGTCGTGCACAACTAGCTTCCAGTCGCGTAAGGACAAGCAGCTCATCGGTCTGGCTAGCCTGGCCGACAGGATCTGCTCCGGACCTTTCCCACCCCCACCCCACCCCCCCCCACACACTCAACGTCTATCGACCTGAAGGTCACTTTCCTTCATTCTAGAAAACAGAATTGCCCAAAAACTGAATCAAGCGATCCGCAAGGACATCGTGCTCGCATTTTCCCGGAGCTCGCCACAGGCGAAAAAAGGATCGGGGGAGCACCAATGAGCTGTCGCCTCACCTATGTTTGCGGCCATGTGTTTTCCACCGAAGGGAGTATGACGTACTTAGATCTGTATGAGTTTCAATCATCGACCAAGGATCAGGCCAGCGAACCGGGACCCAACGCCTGGTGTTCAGGCGAGTCTTTTGTGGGTCCATCTTGATACTCTCGACGGAGCCAATTTGGAACCAATGCAAGCCATGTCGACAAAATCGTCCGCTGGTTGAACTGATGCAGCCACTTCAACGCCGCGTCCACATGGGTCTGTTATTCTGAGGCTCGGTATCCTTAGGGTTGGCTGTTTCGGGATATCAAACACCGAAGCCTTCGTAGGGAGTTCCCCTTTGAGACAAAGCCACATGGAAGCCACCTGGCTATTCCCGGGCCTCGGTGGTTGAGAACTCGGACACGCTGCCGGCCTTGCATGGCGTCTCTTTGGTTTCACTCACACCGCTGCCCTCCTTGGCATGCCCAAAACCATCCTGAAGCGTGATTTCGTTTGAGTAGCTCCTGTTACTTGCTATGAGTCTTTCTGAGTCTCAATACTTGTCATGCAACATCAAGGGATGCATCAAGAGTATGGACAGCTGCAAATGGCTGGCTTCATGTTGGTTCCTTTTTGATTTCATCCCAAAACGGTCACCAGTCTGACACATTTCCAAATGAAAAATCGATCAAACAAAACAAACGCAAGAAAACAACAAAGGCGCGCGCTTGACCACCAAAAGCGTCGTTTGGTTGCAGTGGCACCCCTCATTCTTATCCAATTTGTCTGTGCGTTTACAAAAAAGCGAAGGGCGCGGGCTTCAGTGGTGAAATGACACCAATTGAGGGGCTGAAAGTCCCTAATTTCGACGTGGCTACATGATCCGACGGATGTCAGGTCGTGCCACATGACCTGCGGGAGCACGTGAGGCCTAGGGCAATATCTCCTCTTCTCGCAACGCGTTGGCCAAGCTGTTCATGCGCAACTTGCGCAACACCTTGGTGCATCCACGAAAGACATATGAGTGGGCTCCGATGGGCTCCGAAAGCCAAAATATTTCCCCCCCCTATGTCGCGCAGCCAAAATCCTTGCTCCAGCTGCCTCCAGTCTGAAGCGCCCAGCGCCGGGAAACGCTCAGATCCCTTCGGGAAAGGGACCCCCCGCGAAGCCGATCCAACTCCGGTCAAACCCCCTAGAAACCGGTCAAATCCCCCTCAAACCGATCATCTAGAAAGGTGATCAGATCCCCTCTAAAAACCGCACCAGTCAAGAAACCGATCAAATCACCCCTAGAAACAGGTCAACTTCCCCCTCTCAAAGCCGGTCCAACTCCAATAGAAACCGGCCAAAATCAAATTAAAACCGGTCAAATTCTTCTCGAGAAACCAATCCAATCCCCCCAAGAAAACCGTCGAGCTCACTGCCATTCTGTAGCTCTCTGCAGCTCTCGTTCTGGCCCTTGAAGCCATGTGGAAACACGCAGACATGCACCCACCCTCTACCTTGGAAGCCGGCTCACACAACACAAGACTTCCAGGCAAACTACAGCACGGTGTGTACCTCAAAGCCTGCCAAAAGCGGACTGGCCGAGGCGGGCAACGCGAAGCGCTTACAATAATTTTGACTTGATTGTGGCTATTGCCGCTTACTTTTGGAGTTCCTGGATTGGTCCCTCTTTTTCGTCTCCAGTCGTCATTGATGTTTGTTCCGAGCTCTAAACAGAAGTTTAGAACCTCCAACTTCCCAGCCATATCCACCTAAGTCCCTTAACACGTAATCAGCATGGGTCTGTCTCGCTTGAGGGTCTGTACGTCCATAAGGATGGACAAAATCATGGTTGAAAAACGATGGTTGGTATTGACGTTGGGGAATCGAATCAGCAACCAGGGTTTCTTAGGTGCAAAATGGACTTTGTCCATTTACAGGGATGTAGGCAGCCGCGTTTGCCTCGTCTGTGTGCTCGGTCTCTGCGAGGGTCTCCGCGGAGCACGTGGCTGTGGACCTCGGACATGGGCCGGAAACCAGTGGAAACCAAGAGGAAAACCACCCATTTTCGGGGGGGTTCCCCGATTTTGAGAAGGTTTTCCCCACGGAATTGGTTGGGAGCCAAAATGAGTGATTGAAACTACAAAACCTGGTTGCAATTCAGCTACCCAGATTGGTTCGGTCTGGAAAAAGCAGAACAACCCTTGTCTCAAATCGGGTGGCTTCTTTATGCCCACCCCCCCTCCCGTTTCTTAAATCTCAAAACAACAGAAAAATCAAATGAAAACAATTGCTTGCACAAAATGTAACACCTCCAAATGCCGGCTTCGGTTCTTCTTTGATGTCCTTAGGTTGGAAGTTTCAACATGAACCACTTGGTCCTTGACTTGATGCCTTAGTTGCTGGAATGGCCCCGATCGCCCTATTTGGACAGATACAGCAGCCAAACCAAACACCAACAACTGCCCTCAAGCGAGCGCTGCGCAGGCCCCAGTTTGGACAGTCAACAAACACGTTACTAGACGAATGGGCATGGAATCATGCGATTAGTACAAGCACAACGCTTGAAACACTCACCCCGCTAACTTGGACTTTCATAACACATGTGGGAAAGGTCGCACGTTCTGGCGCTGGTCTCACATGTGCGTTTCGCACCTTCTTATTCCTCGTGCAAACTCAGAGCACTCCAAGAAATACACGTTGGCCAATTCGCTACGCGATGCACCTGTGATCCAGCTGATTGCCACCAAGCCGCCACTTGTCAAATATGGCTTTGTTTTGAGGACTGGCTCCAGCCCTCGACATCTTGTTCCACAAAACGTCTGCAATATCAGACCTGAGGCAGGAACAATTGCGGACGGATTTGACGGTCATGCCCCTGCTGTGAAGCATGCCAGGGTGTTTGCAATCACTCACAGGGGCCAACATGACCAAAACCGTGGTTTTGTTCGCAGTTCTTGGTTTGACCCTCCCTTCAAATAATGCGGTCTGGGCAGTAAATCCTGTATGCTGAGAGCATCCATTTCTAAGACGGGTTCTCCGCGTGTTCACTCAAGTTACAGGGGCAATTGTGACAAAGAACATCTTTTACACGTCTGCCAAATGATAAGAACCCCGCTCAAGTGCCCGCCAAATCAGAAGAACGTCCGCTCAAGGGCGACAGCTCAAGCGCACTCGCCCGCTCAAGTGACTGAGGGCATCAACAGGTGCACGAGTCAGTATGTTCATGTGTGGCGGTTTAGGCACGCTCCACCTGAAAAGGAAGTACGAGTGCGCCTCTTGGCAGATCAGTGGGCTGAAAAACAGCGCGTGAAAAAGGGCTTTGAACACGTCGAAAACGTGCGGTGCCTAGGCACCTGCAAGTGCGCCAGTCGAGATATATACAAATATGTGCATATATACATATATATGTATCAGTTTATGCACGTGCAATATGCATGTATATGTAATATGTGTATAACGCTCCTGACATCGGTCCTTGCCGGGCGCGCCATTTTGGGGGATGCCTATTTTGAGAAACCAAACGAGCCCGGACCATACAGAACGCTCAGGACCTTGGTTCCAGCTGCCTCAATGCTTGGGTCCCCTGCCTAAACTAGAATGGGCGGGGGGTGGGGGGGGGACTTTAAGACCAAATTCATGACCATCAGGAAAGCATCCACAACGTAATTCTCCCAGACCCCTGGATCTCCATGGCCAGAAAATGGACAACCCCCTCTTTTTGGTGATCTCAAAAGTGATTCTCCTCTCCAGACAAAAAAAAAAGAGAGAGAAAAGACCGGAAAAAGCCTTGATCTCCCAAGGGGGTTTTCCCACTCCACCTTCCAAAAAGCAACCAACGACACGACGCGAAAGCACTCGGCGATCCAAGCCGCGATCCCAGGCCTAAAGGGTCCCAGCTCAGGCCTGCGATCGATCGATCGCTCGCGCGCGGCCCCTCCACGACTCCACGACTCCACGACTACCGCGTCCCTCCGGATTTCCGGTTGCCCACCAAACGGGGACCCTCAAAGAAAGACTCACCCAGGGTGTGTCTCAGAAAAGAGCCCGCAAAAAGGGTGGCGGCCCTTTTCTTGGAAGTTTAGGCCAGTTTCCACCCTGATATACATCGACTTTGGCCTAGGCCTCTAATGGGTCGAGGTCCCCTGAATCGTCAGATTGGTCCTGGGTGCGGCTTCTGGCCGCGTTTTGTTGCTCCTGTGGTTTGGGTTCGATGTGCTTCGAAGTGTTTTGGGATATTTGCGCCTGCATGGTATATTTACTTAGGATAACCGAGTACTTGAAATGGCATGCCCGCTTCAGCTTCCCATGGTCAAGAGTCAGTTAGCCTGGTGACAGTGTCGGGTTGAATACATACAAAATGTGTGCATTGACCTCGTCTTTTCGGCGTGTTGCAAACCGCTGCGTTTCGGAATTGGGCTGCACTCATCAGCATCGATTGTTGCGCCTTTCTGCGACTTCAGAATTTGTTCTTGATCGGAGTCACGGTTGACATTGGGGAGTCAATATTCCTGGCCCCAAAATGACCATGCGTAACTCTTCCCATTTAGTGAAAGTCATCTTCTCGGGTGGTCGACCTTGTCATCGTGTGTAAAGGACCTTTTGATTAACCACAACGGCTTGCCTTGCTCTCGGTTTCCAAGGTGTCACCAAAAGGGCATGCTCTTGGACAGATGTGTGGGTATGATGTTCAATTGGGGACCCGAAATGGTGGACATCATGAAATGGCGGCGATTCATGTCCACCAATCACGGTTCAGGGGGGTCCCTATCAAATTTTAGCCATATTTCGTTCATGGTCATAGGGCTAATCCCCCCCCAGCTCCCGGCGCCTTTTTTGCTGGTCTCAGTCAGCACCTGAAGTCCGGCCATCCGTTTCCATTCGCCGGGGGTTCTCTGTATGAAGCTACCCTGTTTGGGTCGGTGCTTAAAGTATGGCGTCGGCCAGTACCATTTGATGTGGTGCTGCGTTTAAAAAAGGTTGAAACAGCATCAACATGAAATCATCCGTTTGGATGGATTCCTAGGTTTCTCAATACCCAAAAGCCAAGAATGCACAGACGCGAGGGATGAGGCATTTGAAGCTTGCCCAACAAAAAAAACGCTGAAGTGGCAAGGGGGAGGCCACAAACAACTGCTGCACTGGTCCTCATTTGGATTGTGTGTGTGTGGTAATCGGAATTCTATTGTTGACATATCCAGCCGACATTCGATCGAACACAGGGAGCATATTGCTTGAAGTTACACACCGGAATCCGCCGACCCCATGCCTGGTCCAGAATGGACCATGCTTTCGGCATGGGGGCGGTGTGTTCTGTGTTGCTTTTGTTGATATGCTTTCTATAAGTTTAATGTGAATATGATTATGTATATGTATGTCCCTTGGGGCGGCTCTTGGGGCTGGTTTCTACGTCGGCTGTTTCTGGATTTCTGAATTTCTGGATTTCGCCCCGCCCCCTCCCCCTCCCCCCCCCTCCCCCGCCCCCCTCCTCCCCCTCCCCCCCCCCCCCCTCCCCGCCCCCCCCCCCCCCCCCCCCCCCCCTAACCCCCCCCCCCCTCTCCCCTCCCCCTCCCCCCCTCCCCCCCCCTCCTCCCACCCCCCCCCCCTCCCACCCCTCCCTCTCCCCTCCCCCGCCCCTTCCGTTGTCTTCCATGGTCTTCCAATCTTCCGTAGTCTTCTGTGCTTCTTCTCCTAGTCTTCCGATAATGTTTCGGGACCAAACAACGCGCCTTAGGACTCAATCTCGTGTCCTGTGCTTTCGGGCTTCTTCCCTTAGGCTTCGGGTAGTCTTCCCCCACCCCTCCGCCCCCCCCCCCTGTGACTGTCTATGTCTGTCTACGTATCTGCGTCTTCGTGTCTGCGAAGACCCCCTGCCCCTGCGTGTCTGTCTGTGTCTCCTTGTGTCTGCCTGGGTCTGTCTGCGTCTGTCTTCGTGTCCGCGAAGACCCCCTGCGTGTCTGTCTCTGTCTCTTTGTGTCTGTCTGTGTCTGTCTACGTATCTGCGTCCGTCTTTGTGTCCCCCCCCCTTGTCTGTGTGTGTGTGTGTCTATTTGTCTCTGTCTGGCTCTGTCTGTGTCTGTCTACGCATCTGCGTCTGTCTTCGTGTCCGCGAAGACCCTCCCCCTCGCTGCGTGTCTGTCTGCGTGTCTTTGTGTCTGTCTGTGTCTGTCTACGTATATGCGCCTGTCTTCGTGTCCGCGAACGGGTCTGTGCACGCGTGCTTTCTCTCGTCCCGCGCCGAAATTCTAAGGTGTGTGGGGGCGGCGGAACCAGGCCGCAGGCCATTAAATAGACCACGCCTTCACAATTCGATGGCTAGAACGCCACCCCCCCCTGCATGCTTGCCGATCGGGTGCAGTGTGAATATACTGGATGTTTGCTTGCTGTGATGTCTGTGCATGAGGCAAACGAGGATCAGGATTGGCACTGCCAGCACTTGTGCAACCTGTCAATGGATATGGGTCAAAATTTAACCACCAGGGGACCGCAGGTTTTAGTCCATATTTCCACTTACCAGGGCTCCAAATTGGGCACCTATTTTTGACCCACAGCCCTGTCAGACTTGGACTATTTAAACACGGTGCAAGTGCTCCGGCCTTGGACTGTTGCTCCTTTCTGGAGCTGGAAGGCGACCAGCTGGGAAAGGTATCCTCCATCCGCGCAACTTGTTGGCATGTTGCTGCGCGGCTGTGTGTATTTGTTTCAGGGTAACGTACCCTGTTTCACGGCTTTAACAGGAAACCGAAGGGAAAACAACGCGCATTCGGGGGTTCCCTCCCTCAGAGACAACCCATGTAAAAGGTCCCATCGAGCGACGTCAAGCTGCCCTCCTTTCGGTGACTACTCAGGACGTTAAGAATGCTCACAATTACACGGCGTAGCGTCGCAACAAGACGATCTTCAAAGTCAAAATAAGTTGAGATGCCATTCCACAGCGGAAGCTGCGTCCCTTTGCTCACTCCTCGTCATCCGTGGTGATGTCAGCCCAAAGCTGACGCTGCGGCTGATTCCTGCCGACAGTTGACCAGGTGAATCCCCGAAACCAAATAGTGAAGGGAAGTGCTGTTTGTACGGGGCACTCTCCAAATTATTGAAAGTAAACTTTTGGGGAGGCCCCCGTATAGTGTGACATTCTGATTCGTGCCCTTGCAATATCGTGCAATATCTGGACTTACCTCTGCCAGCTCTAAAATTGGTGAGAAGCCCGAAATACAGCGTGCAGGCTCGCCAAACCCGAGATCGTGAGATGCTGCGAAGCAAGGCTTGTCGTCAAAGGCATGAGCTAAACAAATGGCCCCAACATAGGTGAGTGCGCCTTGGGGTGAGTCCGCTCAATTCTCACGGCTTCGTAAACGGCGATCTACTGGTCGCAAGGCCGCTGGATACCAGCCAGAACAAACAGCTAGCGAGTTGGCAGTTCAGCCAAGCTTGCACTTCGAACACTCTGACGCCATAGCTCTATTTCCGAGTGTTGCGCAAGTGTGGACCAAACGTAGCTGTCATGGCCGATCTGGTATCCTCACCTGCCAAAAGACCCGCTCGGCATCAGCCCACGGATGCCTCTTGAATTTCAGGAACATGTCATAGTTGCGCGGGCACAAGAGTGCACCTCTCTGTTGTCCGTGTTCATTTTCAGAGAACCGACTGGACAAAATGCAACTTGGGTACCGACCGGGGAGGCTCATCAGCTTGCTACTCGATGCGCGTCCCGGCACTTCCGCCCGTCCTGGCCGGCTGCAACTTTGCCTGCCGGGCGGTTTTGTGCTCGTGCCCGGTTGGCCAGAAATCAAGGGTGGACTTCAGCCGCTACATGGGTGTCTTTTTGTAGGGCCCCCAAACATGGTGGTTTCCTTTTGGGCTCACTTGAAAACCAGCCAATAAGAGTTCCCCAACCAAAAAAAAAACACCCCACATGGCACGCCCAGAAACGACTGCGCCTGCCCGGCTTTGGTTCGCCTCTCCACGTGTGCCGCCATTTGCGGATACAAGGTCTGGCGCGTCCAAGCGACAGGTGACCACCAGGCCCCGGAATGTGCATAACTTGGAATGCGCGGACAGTTCCGTAAAACTCTAGGGGCTGATTCCCCATTCTTTTCAACCATCGGAGGTAACCATCGTTCTTTTCAAAAACCCGCCGGTTTCCCTGGGATTCTGGAGGTTTTCTAGAAAGAAGGATCCCTAGAAAGAATCGGAAGGTACCCCTAGAAAAACAAAGGATTTGTGTGGCTGGCCTTTTTCGAAGAAGTGGTCGTCACAGCTGGCATCTTGAACTGGACACCCGGGCAGTGTTTTTGGGGCCTGTACCTGCAAAACAAAGATCACTGTCCAAACTTGTGGTGGTGCTTCTGCCTGGAAATCCACTGAACACCAAACCAGCTTTGGAGTGGAATAGAACCACGTCAGCAATTTGTCCATCCTGCTCCTTGAGTGTGGAATTGGGGTCTTCCTTGTCGAATCGCCCATTGGATTCCCCTTTTCTAGCGAAGGCTAACACCTACTCTGCGCAAACAGTCTGCTCTCCTGGCTCTCCTTAATACCCATTACCGGGCCCTACGCAAATCGTTGGCAACCGTGGGCCACCTTTCCAGCCAAACGCCGCAGTACATCCGGGGAACGACTTAAAGCTGAGCAATCATATTGAAACCGAACACTAGCAACGTGTTTTCTTCCAGCCATGGCTGTCGACCAAACCCCTATTTCTATTCGTGACCTGCCGAAGGGAACACAAACATCGTGTTTTCAACGTGGTGGGTAAGTCAAGGAAATGTCTAAACAAAAACAGGGGATATATATCTTGTCTTTTTTGAAGCTAGCCTGTTTGGTTGGTTTCAAAAGGAAACCACCATGTCAAACTGATTTTGAAACTCCCCGTATTTAAGACAAACATGTGCATATACTTATATATATATATGTATGTATAAGCCCAAACCCCAAGTGTTGCTGTTTGTTTAATAGACACCCCACCTATTTTCACCCAACTGTAAAGTGAGATGTTCGTCCCCATGTTGCCTCCTCCTGCTCCCTGAGCGGCTCCATGGCTGAGTCGTTCGAGTCCTGCCTGAAATTTCGACGGAGGCACACGGTGCCGAGCTGAAATCGAAGCAAGGCGTTGCCTGCAAAAAAAAAACTGACACGTGGCCTTTGCCCTTTTTTTCCTGTCAGTCCCCTCCAGTACTGAGTTCTTTTCGGATGGACCATGTAGCTGACCCCTTGAACGGGAGATTTATACGGGTTCCCATGCCTTTCACCAAGGGAATATGATCATGAGCATCCGAAAGGAAGTTAGAACTCGTTTAAGGGAACATCACAAGCACCGGAAGGATGCCTTTGATGCCCCTTGAGGAAGCGAAAGTCCAGCAGATGTCGCGCAGGTCAGCCGGGTAAATATACATGTGGAGTTGCCGTTTCTTGGGTGTAATCTAAAAGCCACCAAAGAAATGTGCCAGAGGACAGCAAAGGATTGCAATGGGCTGCCAAGGACAGCCGGCGGGCAGAATGATCAAGCATTTTTCATCCCAGTCCAAACACATGACGTTCAATAAAATCCTCCGAGCGTTTTTGTTTTTTCTGGTACCTGGTGAATTCCCAACAGTCACCCACAGGCTCGCTTGGTTCCATGCCCAGGCCTTCATTGGGCTCATCGGGCCACGGAGCGGAAGCCCCGTGTCGGCCAGGTCTTGCTTCCCCAACACGGTTTCAAGAGCCCAACCGCAGATGTCACAGCAAGCCACGCGGAATTTCATGCTACCCAGCCCTCAAACCCCGAGTGCGCCTGAAGAAGGCAGTGTGCGGCATCTAAAAACTGTACCTCACAGGCACCAAAGTACCAACAGCTTCATTCGACTGTCACAGGAAACTCGCCATCACATGGAAGGGTGGTTCTTGTGCCACCTGTTCCTCCAAGAAAGAAACTACACTTTTGGGACCAAACATTTTCCGACGTAGTCTGAGTCTAAGGATCACCTGGGACCCTGCCTCGCGGCTTCCGCGCAACCGAACCCGCAATAGTTGGGTGTTGCCATGGGACTGGCTGGCTACCACTGCACGCCCTTGTGCAGCCTCAGGCCCAGAACTATTGAAAGCTGGCTATTGGAAAACCTGCAACTGGCTTGATGGTGTCTTTAGGGCCCGCTTCCATCACTGGAATAGTGAATTGTGCTAAGAATCGTTATCCCAAATGGCTGGCTTTCACTTATTTGACATCAGAGGGTGAACAGAACGGCTCCAAATTCCAGAGAGTCCAGGCAACAGCAGTCCTTCTTACTGGCACAATCCAATGGTAACGTGCAAACAAGCATGCCCATGGTTGCCAGCCCACCTGTCACTCTCCGAACGCTTGTCTAAGCTGGTACATAGTGTGGGGGCAGTGTAGTTGATGTTGAACATTACAGAACTGTCAATCACCAAAGGACCTCGGCAGATGCATTCAGGACCAGAGCAGCCACACAATGGAAACAACTGACGCTGAGTAAGCAGCTGCCCGCTCCACCAACGCTGTCCCTTGCTTCTATCTTCAAGGCAGCTCGGCCCAATACGACTATATTGTGGCACAAGCACAAGTCACTCAGACTTGACGCCAGACTTGTCTGCGTTTAGGGTGCGCTAAGCAAACCCTTGCCAAACACCTCCCCTGCAGTTTGGCCGCAACACAAACAGCGCCAGGTCGGCTCAAACCATTTCGAAATGCGACCCCTTTGGACCCGTCGAGAACTTGGTGAAGAGAAGACTTGCACGGGCGCTCTCCGATTTCCCCGAGCCCGGCCTTGCCAACGGAATCGGAGTATAGGACAACCAAAAAATGCTGCGACAAGGCGATGCGGCGCGCTCACTGAGCAGAGCACATGCAAAGCTGACGGCTGACTGGAGGAGCACAGACAGGACACTAAAACAGTACAGGGTGTACACGAATGCGGTATCTTTTTCATCTAAGCAACCCGCAAGAAATCCATTCTGTTGAGAGCCGCCAATGTCCGCGTGATTGCGGCGCAAAAGGGGTCTCTTCAAGCACCAAGAGCACCGGATAGAAGAAGGCTTGATACAGGCAGAGCGTATTGTTGCTCTAAACGTACGGGACAAGTCAGTGATAGAAGGTACGAAGTCCGATCAGAATAAATCGAATCACTGAGTCACAACCCCTGCACGTTGGCAATTGCAGTGTGGATGGCAAAGTACTGAGCCTGGGCACCGTCCACCAAAAAACAAACAGCTTCCTTATGGCACTGGAAGACCCTTGAATCATAGGCAGAACAAAGCAAGGAATGGCGCACTTGAGAAGTCACCATGCTCAATTCAAAGAAAGGATGCCTGTTGATGGTGAAAAAGAAGAAGGCCGCCAAAACTCAGAGCAAAACCAAACAAACACACAAACAAACAAGCAAGAAAGCAAGCAAACAAACCAAACCGGGCCAAACCCAAATCAACCCAACAAACAAACAAACAACAAAGTGTAACAAAGAGGCAAACACATCAACACCAAGCAATGCAAGCGGGGCGTGGGTAAGCTGTGCCCAAAACTGAGACAAAACACGTCTCGCATCCGTCCCGGATCCAACCTCCTCGTGCTTGCCCTTGGTGGCCTGGCCCACGCGGCGCCTCGAGACACCTGGTTTGTCTCAGAGGGCAACGCCCCAAACAGGTTTCCTTTCGGTTTCCCTCTAAAAGCCCCAAACAAAAAGCCTTGAAAAAGATACACCCATCTTTTGAAGGAAACCAGCACACGGATCTACGAAGGCCTATCGGCATTAGAGTTTTTGCTGAGCTCCAAATTCAACGCCAAGATGCTTTGGTAGTCCCGATGATGCTCCTTCCGCCTCCCTGGTGTGGAGGTACTGGCAACTCTGTTTGGCAAATCTGCGCTCCTGATGCCTCCGCTCTTTGGGCCTGTATCTCTCTCACGTCTTAGAACACTTACGCAGCTCAAGATGGAAAGATCGCAAAACAGTGCAAACCAGTTCCAGTAACAGCAGCCGAAGCATGCGTGTACGAGTAGTGTCCAAAACATGCGCATCATAAAGCGTTGCAATCCGATTGCTATCCAAGGCTGTAAACCACACGTCAGCAAGTGCCAAAGTCGGCCAACCATACAACTCCACTAATATTTGTTTCGGTCTGGAATCTCAAGTCCAACTGCGTGCCCAAGCAGTAAATTGGCTTCTTCCGAACATGATGACTCGCCAAGGGAGGCACATGTCATAGTGGTGTCAAATCCGCTTAGGGCGGAAATCCAGGCCGGAAAAGGAAGAGAACCAGCATTGAAAACAAATCAAGAGTCCCTAAATGGCTTAAATGGATTTCCCTCATGTGCAACACTCTGGAATTCAGCATCCATCTTGCAGGTTTCGAATGTCCCCACTCCCAGACCCCGGCCAGAAAATGTGGCGACTCGTAGAGCAACAGCCTGAGAGCGCGCAAAAGGTTATGGAAAAACACGCCACAAAAGGTGACCCAAACAGATGTGGATTGGAGACAGGCATCTACATACAATGATGTTCGTGATCCTCAGGACATTCCCAGTGTAACATTGACATCCAATGAACCAAAATAGCCCAAGGTTCTGCCCATGTTCTGCAACAACATACAAACCTGTGCCCAGCCAAGATATAGCCCAAAACAGACGCGTCTTTCACTGAGCCAACCATACACTGTTGAATGATGCAGCTCAGCCTGCGGCTTCCCTTCAGAAATTGTCAGGCAGAGAGGCATTCAGCTACTCAACCCTGCTTGGATACGTCCAATGGATTGATTGGTATGGGCTGCAAGGTTCATCGAGCTTGTTGTGCGCACGCATGGTGTTTGCCATGCCATTCCTCCCATCTCTTGGCCCCAGAAATTCAAAGGTGAGCGGTCGGAAACCGCCAACATGTAGATCTGAGGAAACAGAAGCGTCCTGGGAACCTCTCAGCTAAAGCACAGCGTCAGGGTTCGCCATGGTGCACTCAAGACTTGGAGTTTCAACTTGTTGGATCAACTTCTACTAACGAGATGGGGAGCCAAACATGTGCTGAGGCACACCATTTCTGGGAAGTTGGATTCGCCAAGGTCCACACACTGCAAAGGGAAGGATCAGCAAGGCAGGACCTCGGCGTCTATGGCTTCACCGACAAATCGGGCTCGATATGGGCAATCAAACCTGCAATCTGGTCGTGCTGATTTGCTGATTTTGGTTCAACCGCACACACAAAAAGGTTGGAGAATCTATGCAAGACTTCGCATGTGAAGTCATTCACAAGCAGCAGCGCTGGGCCAAACCTTTACACACTTAAAGCCCGATTGTTTGAACAACCCCTTGTGGTTTCCCTGTAGAGGTGGCTGTGGTCGGACTGTTTGAGCAAATTGTGTAACCAACCCTGACAAGCAGTGGATGATTCGTCAAGCATGAGTGCAAAGCCAGGGCAGCGGCTGACGGCAAGTGCGGTGACGTAGCGCCAGTTCTCCTTGGGCGGGTTTCTGGAGGATTTGTGGTCCCCTAAAGTGGGCCGAGAGCGTTTCGGCGGATTCTCCAAATTAGTTGTGGGGACCCGGGGAAGAAGCGAACAAACCACCAACTTGAGAGGGAAATTTCGTGATATCCCGTCAAAGACGCAGGACTTGGCCACCAATCGGTTCAGAGTCAAGGGCAAAAGATGTTGGATGTCGCCAGTACCCAATATGGAGCCAGCTTCATGATATGTCTCTGTTTTGAGAATACCCCTTTTGGGGTTGAGGCTTGACGGGAAATCAACGCGACCCCCGCCCCTTCTCTCCATTCAGGCTCCACTAGAGGCAAACCCATCGCAACGCTCCTCTTCTGTGCTCTGCTTCAGGTCCTTCAAGAAAGCCCACAAGAGCCAGGCCTCGGCCGTTTTTCCCCTTCGCTAAGACTTGACTCAAACACCCGCCTTCCTGTGACCAAAAGGGATCGGGAAAGTGACAAAATCTGAAAGCCTCGGCATTCAACACGGGCCTGGGGGCTTAGGAAAGAGTTGCCGCTTTCAAGCCACTGGTGTGTTGGAGGATGAATTGGGCAGCAAACAAAGCCACATTGCTTGTTTGTTGCAGCCCCCAGCTTCGACTCATGACTGGCGACACAGCGCTGTCATTCCCGAAAAACGTTCTGGGGCTTGAGCAAAACCATTGACACTTAGACACTCGGGTGCCTGAGCCCGTCCTCCACAAGGCCAATACGCCAGGTCTTCAAAAAGGTTAGGCAGTGACAGCATCATCTGGAAACACTCGGTAGTCGCCCAACATGGGTCAAAATGTTTACAGCTCGACTTGGCCGAGCCGTGAACTGCATAGACCTCGCCCAGGGTAAAGAAGAAGTTGTTGACCTTGCGGCAAGGGATGAATGGGTCTGACGCGGCTCACTGTGAAATACCACAAGAGCCCTTGTTCGCACTTGCAACGTGGAGGGAGGGAACAAACCAGCACAACGTGGCACATATTTACACATATTTATGGAACGTCCTCTCGCAACTCGCGCGCTTGCCACGTGGCTGTTACAAGTCTTCAGGAGATCTGAGGCAGGTATGGTCAATGTGACAGGGAGCACACTCATAGTGAACACACATTCACGACAATCAACGTGGCAACGACGAGCGTCGTCACGGAACACCCTCATAGTGAAAGAAGATGGTTCTGGATGGAGAAGTACATTCCGGCTGTATGCAAAACCCGAATTTCAGCTGGCAAAGTCGGCGGGAAATACACCAAGGTCATGCTAAACCCAAAGTTTGCTCTGAAGGTATTGCAATTTGTCTGCAAACAGAATCGGTGTCCAGTTCGGCCAAGTTTTGTCGTCAAAAAATAGGATGGATCGTTGCACACCCTTTCGATGTGATGCTTTTACCATAGCGTTTGTGGGATGAAATGACCATTCCCGCTGCGTTCCGAAGAGCGTGATTTTTTTGGTTTAACGACGGGTTTAACATCTCTTTAATTGAAAACATGGCCCAGGTGTTGAATGCGGCTTGGGACGTGCCATGTGACAATTATCAGCCACAGTCCAAGCAACATTTGACTCCAGGCCACTAAAATTGAAACAGCTCCAAGCAGGTTCGGACACTGGGGAGTAGTAAAGGCAAATCCAGGCTGGGCATTACATACGCTGTTTCCAAAGAAAAAATGCCTCTGTCGCCGAAAGTAGGTATCCAATGCGCATCACTCCTTGCTCGGTCATACCGGGAGGCATGACTTGGCGGCGCCATAAATCTCTCAATCGGAGGATGAAAGCTTGCTTGAAGTTGAACGGGGTTTCTTAAAAGGATCCAAACACCTCCCTCTCTGCAAGGGTAGAATGGCTTTGTGGAGGACAATATGCTTCGAATCCAGCATTGAAGAGGTTCTTTGTCTTTCAGTTTCTATGTCCATGTCTTCTTTGTCGCTTTCTTCTGCATCAAAGGTTTAATCTACATGTCTATCTTCTAATGACCCTAACTGGAATTCCGCTATCAATAAAATTAGCATGTGTTCCTTGCAATATGAGTAAAGATTTCTATGGACAAATATGAAATTATCGAGAGAAGCTTGTCTTCTAATTGCGTCCGGGACAAGGGACGGAGAATGAACGAGGAATGCATCCCGTCCACAATTCCAGATGTAGGAGTGCGCGGAATATCCGCATCCCATTCTATCTTCTCTTTGTCTGGGATCTGGAAGTGTCTTCTGGATGAGTGTGAAGGTTTTATGTCTCTTCCTACTCCCATCTTTCCCATTCACTTGCCAGGTCTAACAGATACAGCTAGGAATCCTCCCAATAGGCTGGTAAAGATCACTAAAGTGACTGGCCAAAATGAGCACCGCCAACAAAATCCGGTGATGTTTGG